AAAGAAAGAAGTAAACACAATTTTGAAGTTTTCAATCCTGACAACTGCTGCACCACATTGCTTAGAATACTGTATTACTCAAAATATATCTTTGGGTAAGACACATTCAAAAAAGTAATGTTTCTGTTCCTATGTATGTATGTATGTTTTATTTTCAGTTGATTATTATCAACATTCATGCTTGTGCCATACTTATAGTAGGGTATATGACTTTTTTCTTTAAAGAATCCACAGGTTATTTCATATATATTAAAATTTAAATAAAATAATAAAGGTGGCAACACAAAAACTTTGAACTCTTGTGAGACCCTTTATTACTTAATTGTAATTTTAAATTTGGTAATAAACAAAGTATTATATACTATTATTATAATAAACCCTATTTCTGTAATTTTGCTGTTTTTTAATACCAGTGTTTCACTGTCTAATGGATATGGAACAGCTAGGCCTAGACTATCAATAGTTAAAATTATTCATAACCCAGCAGTGATGGCTTAATATCAAATTGAAAAAAAAACATGCCTTATGTCATTCAGATGCTTTCACCATTAAGATGAAGAACATTCACAAAAGTTCTAGATATTATGTAAAAGAGGAGTATAAAAGCAATAGCATTTTCATCAAAAAGGGTTTAAAATATTTTTTATTTAATAAAAATATACACAGAACATCCTCTAGCGAGACTCTAGTCTAGACATAACATAACTATCAGATCTTAAATTATTTACATGAAATCTAGAGGGGGGATACAAAGAATAAATAAAAAGACAGATACATGGATACAGATTAGTCTTTTTTCATTATCTCCAACACCAACCTTGAATATAATCTTCTGTGTTCTTGGGACATACTCTTTTAATTCGAAACGTAACTTTGCTCTTCTCTTGAAGCCTCTGTGTTTTTGAAAATATTCACATAAAGCACAATTACAAAGCCATCAACCAAATTATTTCTTTGTGTATCCGTGATTGACCATATACCCTTCCTCTAAAGGTAGAATAGCATGGACCTAAAATAAACTAAATAACATTGTTTACAAAATAAAAACTGATATTTGGAAAAAAATATAAGAACTAGAGTATTTTAACTTACAGTTTCTCCATAATTCTTCATTTGTAACTATTTTCATAGATTCATGTGGACTGTTTATTTCAATAAATGAGGAAAAATATTTCTATCTTTACTCTTTACAACAAAACAAATTAAACATGAACTCAGACTAAAAATATAAATAGACAAATAATTCCCTACAAAATATCGTCGTCAACATAACTGTAGTTACGGTAAACAAATATATGCGACGCTGCCACTTCTCCATACTGAAAAATCTATTGAAAATGGAATGAGATATTGGTGTGCACTCCACCCGAAATGAAGGTGGACTTAAATAAAGTGTGGACGCTCCGGTCGATCGTGGGTCGATCAAACAACTGCTCCTAGGCAGTTGTCAACGTCATTTTAAATTTTAAAAATTTATTTTTTCTTTTCATATTTGTTTATACTCGCAAAAACGGTCACAGAGGTGGCCGACACGCCGTAAATTCAATTCAAAACGGATGCAGGTTCATGTTGGGTAATTCATAGCGAACATTACGTATAATATTTTGCCCAGTCAGTTGTTTGACTGGATTTGTTCCACCTTGGACGAAACTTGCTCTCATTCGAAAGTAGCACATTTCTACCGACTTTTTGCCGAACGTGGCAACGGTGTTCAACGGCAAGTGGTGGATGCGTACACAGAATTTACAAACATCTGGTGTTTGTTGTTGTGCACAGTGAATTTGTTGCGAGTATTCAAAAATGTTTTCAGGTTGTTTTAGCGGCAATTATAGCATTGTTATCATTGGTAGACAATTTTCAAAGACAATGGGACGTCGGAAGTGCATTCTTTGTGGAGTTAGCAGTGAAAAAACTGAGGCAACCTTCCACAGGTGAGTTAGAGGTTAGAGGAGGACAAGGGCGTAGCGCATGGGGATGCGTTGTAATTTTTAGTATTAAGAAATAGACATTTTATAGTTATTGGTTGTTTTTACACTGTATGTGTGGTGATTTTCAAAAAATACTCTTCTGTTAGACACATTTTTGATCTTTCAGGTTTCCTAGTGATAAGAAAAAACAAGAAGAATCTCCAATGGGTGAATGAAAAGATGAAAGTTAAACTTGCCGTCCAGACTTTGAGCAAGAGTGTTGCAGAAGCATTGGACTTTTTGAACAAAGATCTGGCTATGGCTGACTTCAAGGATTCAGAAGCTACAGCATATTTTTGTAGAACAGTAAACAATTTATTTGATGTTTTTAATTCGAGGAATAGGATGTCAAAAAAACCTTATGAGAAACCGTTGTCAGCTGCTACTGAACAATATTTCAATTTCTTAGAAGAAGCGAAGGATTATTTGAAATCGTTAAAATTAGGAGACACTAGAGTTATACTTTCTAGAAGAAAATTAGGATTTTTGGGATTCATAATTTCAATAAACAGCCTGTATGAATATAGAGTCAAAGAAACCAAAGAGCTGAAGTACCTTCTCACATATAATTTATCTCAAGATCATTTGGAAATTTTCTTCAGTTGTATAAGAAGCAAAGGAGGATACAGCAATAATCCTACCTCGAAGCAGTTTCAGAATATTTTAAAAAAATTATTACTCCATACTGAAATAAGTGGCAATGAAGCATCCAATGTCGTGGCATTAGATAGTACATCCATTTTGCACTGTTCATCATCATCTTTAGAGATCAAAATTAGTGAGGATATGACCTCATCATCAAACAGTATAGAGGAAGATGAAGATTTTATACAATTTAAAAACTTTCTTCAAATAAGTCCTTGGTAGCTTAAACTGTATTTGGAAGATGTTGCATATGTTGCAGGTTTTGTTGTGAAGAGGCTAAAAAAGTCTATACAATGGCAGATTTGTTTAGATTTGTTAGAAACTTCAGGAGAGTCTATATCGAAATTACAAATAAGAAAAACGTATGGAAAATTAGTTAAAGCCTCCGCTTTTGTAATAAATGTGTGTAAATATGAAGAACATTGCTTTAGGTTATATAAGGAAAGGTTAGAAGTTGGCAAAAAAATATGACAAGAGCTTCACAAATATTAACAAATTATACATTGCAAAATTTACCTCTTGGATTCAGAAATGTGTTTAAGGACCGTGTATTCGAAGATGAACCTTTAAGTAATCATTTTCCATTGCTCTGTAAACAAGTTTTAGAACAATATTTTACCATTAAGTTGTACCATTATACCTCTAACTTGAATGCCCCTTCAAAACGTGTACGATCATTACTCACAAAAAGTATATTATTTCAAAATCAATAAAACCTGATAATTATAAAAAAATAAAGAGCAAAATTATAAAATGAATTATAAATAATGACTTAGGGAGAGTGACAAGTCCAAAGGAATTCTTTTACTGAAATATGCACTAAATCTCCAAACATGGATTGACTACTATAAAATAATGTATAAAGCTACCCCCAATGTTGATTTCAGCTTTTTAGATGTTTTACATCCATATCTGGATCAGCATAAATCAATACAAGAACTTTTTGACGCGCTAAATGGCTAAAATGGCTATCAGAGTCTACAGAGTACACTAAATCCCCAAGTATACCGTTATGTATAAAACGATTTATAATCCAACTTAAGCTCCAGAATAAATAGTCTCAAAAACTTCCTAAACAATATTTCATACAGGGTTGACCAAACAGACTATTGTACAATATGTAATACTCGAAAGACCGAATCTTTAGGACATCTCCTCCTGGAATGTCCATTATACAATCCATTGAGAGAGCACATTCTGTCCGATCGTTTGAACCAAATCTGTCTTTGCTTGCCTAAATAAAACGAATGAGTTGAATTTATGATACAAACTTTTTAAATACTTTAGGGAATTATTTAAGCTAAGATCTTTCTTAAGGAATGAATAGTTTTTTTGTGCCTTCAATATCAAGACAGAATATTTAAATTGATGCGTCAATTATTTCTTCTTTTTCTGTTTGTTTATATATTTTTTTATATACAACTTTTGATCATGGTTACTATTTTTTTTTTGTATTCATACTCTGGACAGGAAAGTTTCTACTCAATTCTTATTATTTACATAATACTCTCTTGTTTATATACCTTTGTACTAGGTATTATGAAACAATAAATCTGATAATTAAGTTCCAATAATAAAACCTTGTTTACTTCTCTGTGTTTATTCTTTTCACTGCCATGGAAGGTGATACTGGGTGTATTAACCAGAACACCATTACAAAAAAAGCACCTACGCCACTGGTGGAATCAGCTGTGGTCTGCACATACACAGCTTATTGTTTGTATTTGTTTTGGATTGGGTTTGTTTGTCTTCATGCACTACAGTGCCGTAAGAATGGTAAGTCTATTTATATTTTTAGTCTGAGAACATGAACAAGACATTAACAAATATTGACAGTGAACAAATTTTGACATTTCAATAATGACGACACTCAGCACTCAACCAATCAGACAGGTCTTATTCACAAGTGTAGCAGGTTTAGAAGTAGAACCAATACACGACTACTATGCTGACCATAAAACACAGCAGACTGAAGAAGTGGGAGCTGCACGTTAAACAATGGCAACACCGTTGACGTCAGATGGTTGCGCCGCCTACTGGCCTGGAGGAACTAGCGGAAGAATGTCAAAAATGCGCCTGGAATAAGGAATGTGTCGGGCTGCTGGGGATTTCGTTTGTTCATAATTCGAAATCTACTGAAAATGATATTTCCGATATTGAAGGATTATTTCTTGAACATATATTCAAAGAAATATCCCCAATATGGGTAATATCTCGTTCAGCAATTTTACTGAGAAAAAAGTGCGGCATAATAAAATCCAACCCTAATAATTATGAATCACCAAATTTATTTACTTTCAGAAAATATTCATATGCTATTGACAATGGCATAAAAACTGTATTACATGAAAATATAGATAGATTAATTTGAAATTCATGTTGAGTGTTGTAAAACATAAGACTCTCACTTCATTGTACCGCTTCTTGATAATTCTGAAACAATACAGAAAACACTAATGTAATTTATAATTCTTTGTAAATAAGCTGGTCACTTTTCATTAGTTTGCTCAGTTCTATCCCTTCAATTTGTTGGCCTTTCATACTTAATACCAACTACAAGAATTATAATGAGGCTGAATCCAGACATGCAATTTTAAATAAAAATTCTACCAAATACATCATGCCGATATGTTAAGTTCACAGCCTACCTGTAGTACTTTATGAGATGACAAAGTCTCCTGAACTTCTCCCACAATAGTCACAATACATTTCACGTATACCATTACAGGTACTGATAGTATTATTTTATATTTTATGCTCATTTTTTACGAAATATCTCCAAAAGCATCAGCATTGATAATCTCGATATTAACCAAAACAAACGCCATATTTGATATTTTTAAATTCAGATAAAGATAGAGAATCCCGGCAGGGTTGCTAGGTTTTCAGAGAAACTCGCCAGGAATCGCCAATCCAAATTAACTAGGAGTCTAACCATAAAACTCCAGGTTAGAGACGATAACTGAAGAGCGGTGATGAAGGGGGTTAGGCATAATAATACTCCAAGAATCCATTGAAAAGTGGGGGGTGAGGATGTTAGACATCTGTAATATAAACGAAACGAAGTTCATTTACAGGGGGGCGGATCCAGAGGTGGCCGGACTGCTGGCTAATATTCTTGTGATATTGTGACAACGGGAAAACGGGGAGGAGGGTTACTGACGAAAATTGAAGAACGGAAAGACAATAATTTTTTGCGTATTTACCTTCCCTCAGTGAACCTTGGGAGGGGGGGGGGCTATCTCTCCTCCCGGTTATCGTACAAAAATTGTATAATAATATAATAATCGTACATCAAGCAACACTGTGTCAAAAGTCAAAAGTGTTAGGGTGGGATGCTCGAAACACATGACACCTTGACATGACATTTTACCATAAGCGTCACGGTGCTTAGAGAACAGAACTGCCGCTCGTCCTGTTTCGTGTCTATAGACACATATGTTAAAAAAAAGAAGCACGCTGGATAGCGAAGCTCATCACCGCATTGCCTAACAACGCTGACGCGGCAATCTGCGTCTCGTTGCCATTATCTTACACCAGTTCCTTGAATTAGGGGGCATGTTGAAAACATGCGTTAGTTTACTCTCTACGGATCTTGGAAATTCTAAGGCAAGGTTTCCACCTCCATGATCATAGACGAGCGATTTTGGTCAGTAACCATCTAGCGCTCATTGAAGAGTGTTGCCCTGCTTCGAGTATGCCTCCTTCTTGGGTTTGACAGTAACCTAACCTATTGTAGAAGTCTGTACGAAAATTTTCTGGCTTAACATTTTGGCGACGCGGAAGCTTGCACGAGCTTCAGCGTCGCCGCCGTCAGATAAATTTGATGTTCCTTGTATACACATATCAGCAAAAATTGATTACAAATTAATTGGCGTAAGAAATCTTAAAAATCGACATATCGCCAGTTTTCTGGATACTGGGCGCCATTAAAGCAGCCAATCACCGAGCTATCCATTTGAAGCCTCAAATTGCCACTTTAGCGAAAAATCGGCACGCCTGGCAACCCTGAATCCCGGCAAGCATCACTTCACGAGATGCCTGTAATACAGTTACCTGATTTTGCCTGGAAAGGATTACAGAGAGGATGACCTTGGTGTTGCCAGTTCGCCTATAATGCGGGTCCCACACGTTGTTTACAACGTTCGATACCCCACAATTGGCAAATGTATCTCCTACACGATGGGATGAACTTTTTAGTCTCAAACGTTCGACGCATGGTGACGCCAACGTCTATTATCGGTGTCAGTGTCGCGATACAAAATGAACGATGAAACAATTTTTTCGAACGCCAAAAAATAATTTCAGATCGGTCTTCAAGGACCAAAACTTAAGTCTCTCAGGAGTCTCAGAAATCTCGAAAAACGAAGTTTGACCGTTTTTTTGTTTGTTTTTCGACGATAACTCCGCCGCCACTCTACCGATTTTCAAAAAATGTGGAGCTTTTTCGTCATTTTCATAGTAGTAACCTAGGGTCAAAATCCTGATAGTACTTTCAGAGTTATCATTTATTTAATCTTTTTCGTTAGTTATGATAAGCTAGTTAATATATTTCTCTACTAGTCTTGAATTTCAACAGGACATTATAAAGAAACAACTGTAAGCACTTTATAATTTATAATTTACTAAAATACATATCCTTAGACCAGCCATAAATCACCTGCGAAACGTACAAAATATTAGCAATATGAAAAAAGTGTTGTTATGGCAGCCTATGCTCTGTATGTATACTAATTTAATTATATAAAAAAAGTTAGTTACAGAACATACATTATTATCAATAAAGGTAGGTATTCAAATTAAGATACTTTCCACTTACCACTGCTTCACCACAATCACAGCAAACAAGAAAATAGTGCTTTTCGCCACTACTGGCTCTAACCTAAAGCTGTCAAACACATGACATCTCGTGTGGGAGCGTAATGAACCATTCTTCCAACGTTATAACGTCCTTTGACGCGGGTCAAATTTACCGACAAGAGCCTGATTGTACCATGTGGCGAACGTTGGACACATGCAATCCGTCTGCGCTCTCCCACACGATGTGGCGAATGGCCATGTGTCCAACGTCGTAAGGCATTCGCCACATCGTGTGGGAGCGATTTAAGGCGTTTCACCTCCTGATACTTACGATGAATGGCGCTTGATAGTGGTGGGTAATCAATACTTTTGCAAGTATCGAATAGACACCGATACTTTATCTGTAAGTATCCCATACTGAGTATGCAATACCGATACCAAGTATCGGCTCCATTAATTGCCGTTGGTATCCGTTAATTTAATACTGCTAGTGTGAAATAATAATAATAAATAATAATAATCCTGTTCGTGTCTTTATGTCGCTGATCCAGGCCCCGACCTTCGAATTTATTGCCTACTGGTTGTTTACTGTTATTATGCGGTCTCGGTCTCCTGTAAGTAGGTATCATCGAGTATAGACTAGAAATTAGAAATGACTGATGAGTAGTGATGAGCGATACCCTGAATTTTAAATTACATTGCTATATTTGTTATTGTTACAATATTGGTTAAAAATAAAATATAAATTCTGGGCTTTTGTAACCAGAAATTAGTTTCAGCCTTTTGCTTCAGTTAAGTGTTAGAAATGAAAATGAAACACTTTAATTCCCAAAAGTTCGCCTATATTCAATTGACAACCGGGACGTGCAACAACCCAAAACTGGTCACTGGTCAGCCGTGGTGACGCGAAGCAGATAATAACATGGGTCATGCGCCTGATGCCTGATCATGATGCCAATATTGAATATTCTTATTTTAAATATTTCAATAAACAAAACAATAAAGACAACAAACATCAACTAATCAAGATCATTCCAATTTCGCCTATTATTTGTAATATAACGTGCACATTATGTTATATTTTATTTTTAGATTGATAAACACTACAAACTAAACGACACAATCCGCATTTTGCAGCCTTCACAAACAAAAAACAAACAGCTCAACCGGCTGAACGCGCGACGACCCTTTGACCTTTCGCTTTTAGTTTTCACATGAGACGAAAGTATCTCTGTGTTCTCTGTCACTCTCTGTCTACACTACAGTACTACATTATGTATAAATAGTCAGATTGTCAGTATTTATTACAGTATTCGATAGATTTATCAAAAAGTATCGGATACTTCTGACTTGGGAAAGTATCGGATCTTTTGTATCGGATAGATACTTTTTGCCCACCACTAGCGCTTGACCACGACATAAGTCAATCGTGTTGCCGTTAAATAACATGGAATTCTAGCTAGCATTGTAGCATTTTCAGTGTATATGTTTTGTGTTATAACCTGTGTTTTTTTGCTGATCTGTGTTGTGCTGTTGTGGAGTGTACTAAGAAATCATGACTTGAAAATTTCAACAATTTCAAGAAATAATACTACATATCCTAAAGAAGGAGCTTGTACTGTTCTAGAACAGCAACAAAAATGCCCCCAGATTCGAAGAAGGGCGGTAAACTTGTGAGTATATTTGTCATTACAATAAACTCTTGTTAACGAGCAAAGTTTCATAGGCCCCCTTATCACCATCACCGGTATTGGACATATCCGACGAGGAACTGGTCACTATCTCCGTGAGAGACTTGAACAGACAGCTGAAGATGCGGGGTTTGACGAGAGATGAGATAGTCAGAATGAAGCAAAGGAGGAGAACACTGAAAAACAGGGGATATGCTGCCTCCTGCAGGATCAAGAGGATAGAACAGAAAGATGAGCTGGAGACAGAGAAAAACCAGGAATGGAGAGACATGGAGTCGATGAGAGATGATATTGCACATGCAAGGGAAGAAATGGCTGGTATCGAGCAAAGATATGAGGCCTTAAAACAATTTGCAATTAGAAATAAGATTCCCATCCCTCCAGAGTTAGATCAGTTATAAATCAAATTCAAGCGGATAACAAAATGAAAATGGTATTTATCGATCCGTTCAAGGGAGTGTGGTTATCAGTTTGGTTATGAGATCCGTGACATCATGAATCAGCTGTTATAAGTCATAGTTATCACCGCAAAATTGTGGTATTTACCCAACTCAGGAGTAGTTTTATATTTCTGGTTATTATTTGGAATGTGACAAGTTAGATTTTTGCCAGGTATTGGATATTGTTATTGTACTTCAGCTTCATTTTTGGGAAACTTGATACAGGCCGACTTCAGTGTTAGCATAAAGTGGAGCACCTTATCAGTTATACTCATTACTGTTATTGGGAACATTTTAAATCTAGTTCCTATGCTTAACAAGAATATTAAATTATGGCCATATAAACTCACTGGATGATGTCCACCTGTATACGGTTTTGCTAATATCTTTTTTCATCATGCGGAAAATTTTAGAGAATTGAAAGTTATCATAGCTACAAAACCATTGATTATAGTTAGAAAAAGTACAACTCATAGGTGAATGCTACACAATTATTGTTTACTGTCATCTGTTAGTATTTACCACAGAATGTGATACTTAACTGTAGCCAGGATGTCAGTATCCATCAAACTTTGGTGTCTACTGAGGTAAACAACTGATCAGCAAGTGACATTTTTGTGTTAGTCTGCAACATTGGCAATAATGGGTTGAGTATAAATCTACCAAAACTTGTTTGTGGCGATTTGTTTTTTGTATGCAAATGAACTTTTCTAAATAAAAGAACTGTTATCAAGTACAAAATAAATCTCTAATGTACAAAAAACCAAAACAAAATTCACTTCTGACTACCTGGCATTGATGGATCTGTCAGAATTATGTTACCTGCGTCAATAAGGGGAATAATGATTACTCTTGAAATAGGGTATAACTATTGATGATTAAGGTTATCCTTTAACCGCTAACGTGCGACAGTCGTACACAACCGCTAACGTGCTGTCTAAGATATCGCTACCGGTTTTTGTTACTTTTTATGAATGGTACAACGTTTTTATTAATAATATTTATTTGTAAATGCTCAAAAAACAATGTAATTAAGTTTCAGTTAGACTAAGCGATAACATAGACATAAAAAACAACACAAACATGTTTTTCTGGCAATTTCCAAGTTACTTCCTATCTAACATGCATTCAATGTACATCTTCTTGGAACATTGCAAGTATATGGGTTTCTGATTACAGACTGTGTTGGGATTTTCAATTTTCTTTCATTTGCAGATAATGTAAGGGAATCTGATCCTTTTCCAGCGTAAATATAGGCATTATTAAGGTAATTATTTCGGGCATCTGTCAGGCACATTATTTTGATTCCATAACGAGCCGGTTTTTTCGGCATATATATTTTAATTTTACAACGGCCCCAGAATGCTACGAGCATTTCATCCACGGTAGCATTAGTGCCAATAGAGAAGGCATTCTGGGAATTATCTATGAATTTATTGGATATTTTTGATATGTGAGGCACAGGATCGCCCTCAATTTGTCGTTCATTTCGTAAAGTTGCATCGTCAAATCTAAGAACAGTAAGGCTGCGGTCTCCAATTTTCACGTAATATGCGTCTAGCGTTTGTTTACGTCACGTACTGCGTTTGTACGTCGTAGGCAACTTCACGTGGTCACTACAGAACATTACGAATGTTGTTGGCGTCAGTATCAGTCGAGTACGATCTTTTCAACTTGTTTTGTAAAAAATGGACGATGAAACAATTTTAACTCTTCTTTTACTCGAAAAGGAGGAGGATGACGATTACTTAATACGGATGTCACTAAAGAAAAAGAGACGAAGAAAGCACGAGTTATTTGTGAAGAGAAACAAAGAAGGTTGTTTTAACTTGCTGCTGAACCAATTTTGTAATAACGATACCAAGTTTATAGAATATTTTCGAGTGTCCAAGGAACAATTTACACGTGTGCTGAAACTAATTGAAAACGATATAACCAGACAACCATCAAAAAGATACCGTAATCCCATTTCTGCTGCAGAAAAATTAGGTGTAACGGTAAGGTAAGATATTTAATATTTTTTGTAAGTTTTATTATTTAACTTCATATTATACAACATGTTACAACCAAGTAAAATTCGAATCATCAGTTGATGGCATACACATACACATACAGTGTTGATTCATCAGATGTCATCGGCGTTGCAACATAATGGGTCGATACTGTCATAGCACTCGAATTATCGGATGACACTGGAGCTGCAACATATGGGGTTTGTGGTGTACTAAGTTGAATCTCTCTCTCGGTGACCAACTGACAGACTTTTAGTCGAATGTCTGCCTGGTCACGTAGTGGAAAAGTTTCCACAACATCAGCCATCGAGACAAAAAAATTTCGTATTGCTGATGGCTGTAGTGGAGAATGTTTTTCAAGAATCTTTTTATATACTAGAGATCGTTCGTCTTCTCTTTTATTTAGTAATTCTAGTGTTGAATCATGCTTACTTTTTTTGGGTTCTGGTGTTTGGATATTTTTAGGGCGATATTGTTCTGCATTATCTTTCTTTTGCATTTGCCTTTGTGTGTTTTCTTGCATGATCTTATATGTATCGTCGAATGAATGTTGTATGTCCTCTTGTATGTAATCTTGCGTGACTTCTTGTCCATTGTTTTGCGTGTCATCTTGAATGTTTTCTTGCATAGGCGATGATATCTGCTGACACGCTGATTGACTTGTTTTAGTTTCCCTACAAATTGGTATAAATGATACTAAAGTAGACAGGAAAGTTAAAAACTAGATTAAATTGGAATTAGACTAAACAATGTGCCCCGAAATATGAAAAAAAAAGTTTAGTATATTTTTAACTAGCTGTTCGATAATCTTTCGCTCTAACGAAATAAAAAAATTCATACCGTCTATCATGTACACTGTCTGATAAAAATGACATCAGTGTTCCGTGTTCCCAACTTGTATCTAACTTGATTATAATATTATATATATACGATTCGATTAAACAGATCGGTTTTTAGTGGTACTTCCTCCTTCAAAAATTATAATAAGCGCCTCCGCTGCAAATTAAACAAGTAGTGTGAATGCAGTGAAAAATTTCTTTTTCTCAGCGTGCAGATAAGGGTTTAGTTTTTTGCTGCATTCCTTCGAGCAGTAACAAATACGTTTATTTGTGGTCAGACCAGAGGCGTAACAAGGATGTCTTCAACAGTCGCCTGAAGCAAACAATGAATGCCGACAATCCTGAGGCTGGAGCCGACGTTGCCACAATTACAGAAAATTCGCAGAAAATGGTGGGGAACGAAGAGAACGAAGATAGTTGTATAAAATGTAAAGAGGATATAAAGGAAGATTACTACACGTGTGACGTATGTAATGGGAAGATTCACCAGGTTTGTGCACAGCTAAGTAGCTCAGGAGTGAGATGTATGCCTCTACAAAAAAGAACACTGCTATATAATAATAATAATAATAATAATAATAATAATAATAAATGGCCTTTATTTTACCTGGCGGGTTACATCAGCACAAGCTGTTTTTCAGAACCAACCAGGGCTAAAAAAAAATTCAAGTACATGCAAATACAACAAAAATACATTGAAGATAACATTTAAAGCAGAAAAAAATTTTTTTTACAGAATTGTAGCATGGTATAATGACCAAAAGACCAAAAGAGAAACGTGCAGCAACATAGTACGTAGCAGAATCAAAAACCGTGATTAGAAGTATCTTTAAAAAAAGAAAATATTAGGTATATGGCGGAAGATATAAAAATTAAAAGTAAACAGTAACAAATGTGTAAGCAAAACACAAACAAATGAAAAGTGACGAGTGAGAAAACATGCACAAATAAACAAATATAAAAATAAAATTACATAAAAATACATGCTAGATGAAATCAAAAAAAAAAAATACATGCTACATGTCATCAAAGACAAAGAACCTAACTTTTCTTTTAAAGCTGGACACAGATAAAGTTTTCAAAGCTTGAGGTACTTTATTGTAGAAATCGGGCGCCACATATGAAAAGCTCTTTCTGAATTGGGTTGTTCGGTGCCGAGGCAAGTCAAGAGTATATCCTACAAAACGCAGGTTCGCTGAGTGATGATCACATCTCATGGTAAGCTTGTTCTTCAAATAAAGAGGCATTTTATTTATCATAATACTGTGGACCAATGATAATAGATGCAGTATCCACCTTTGTCGCATAGTAAGCCATTGAATATTTTTAATATGATCAGATACCCTCTCCCGCCTTTGAATACCTAAACTGAATCTTATGCAGCTGTTTTGCACTTTTTGAAGTCTGTATGCCTCGCTCTGTATTAGACATGGACCATAGACAAGGTCCCCGTATTCAAGTTTACTTAGGATAAGGGAATCACACAGCTTAACCTTGGTCTGCTTGGACAATACATTTTTATAGCTATAAATTGACTTCAACTTAGCATAGGAACCCTGATATGCTTGTGTAAACTGCAAAGATGTTTTAAAGAAGATTCCAAATTTAGTTATTCTTATGGAACCACTACTCCAGTACCCATACCAATCCAACAATCTCAATATAGTGATGTTTTAAAGAAAAGCTGTGAGGAAGTGATAGTTATCAAACCAAAGGACAAAACACAAGACAGTTCAAAAACGAAAAAAGCAGTTGAAGAGAAGATAAATCCAGCAGAGATAGGTGTAGGAGTATCTAGAGTGAAATATGTAAAAGAAGGAGGTATTGCTATAAGTTGTACAAAAAAAGAAGACTTTACCAACATATCTGAGAATATAAAAGAGAAATTTGATAAGGAGTACGAAATAAATATCCCAAAAAAGAAAAATCCTAAGATAAAAGTAATAAATATTCAGCAGAAATATATTGAGACTCCAGACACACTTATTGAAACTATTATCAAGCAGAATGGTATTTCTACAGCAGAGGATGAAATAATGCTCAAAATAATAAGCTCCTATGAACATAAAAGCAAGAAATATGGAATAATAATATTAGAGGTGGACCAGACAACATTTGATCTAATAAATAAAAAAGAAGTGTTATACATAGGCTGGAAAAAATGTAAATGTTGTTTGTCCAAAATGCAGTGGAAACCATAAACAAGAGGAGTGTACAAGTGAAGTCAATGTATCCGTTAATTGTAAATATGCTTTGGATGTTCTAAAACTACAAGTGCGTTATGACCCCACAGCATACAATAGACATTGTGAAGGTTACAAAAGAATATTTGAACAGCTTCAAATGAGAGTAGCCTATCCCCAATTACATGTGAATAAACAAAACAAATAGCAATTAAGTAATACTATAATGTACCTTAACATTAACAGTTACAGAGCACATTCAACGGACCTCAAGTGGGTGATAAATAAATGGAGCCCAATAGTAATTTGCCTTGTAGAAACGCATATAACACCAGAAATTAGTGCAAACGAAATTGACATCGAAGGGTATAAAGGTATCCATACATTCTCTTCAAGCCATCACACTGGACGGGCATCGATATATGTAAAAGAAGAATCAAAGTTCAGAAAAACAGTTGATCTGGTGGTAGAAAAAAATATGTGGCTGAGTGGAATTTATATAAAGTTGAATAACACACATTACAACATACTCAGCATGTACCACGCGCCAAATTCAAGTCACAGTGAATTTTTATCTCAATTTCTCCGATTTTAAGACGCACTTATTCAGCATTCTTGAAAAAGAAGACATTTCTCGTGAGCAATTATATAACTGCGATGAAACAGGGTTAAATTATAAAATGTTGCCAACTAAAACTCTGGCATCGAAAAACGAAGCTGCAGCTCCAGGCTACAAGAAAAGCAAAGAGCGTGTTACTGTTCTAGCTTGCAGTAATGCAACTGGCCATCACAAGCTTAGATTAACCTTAATAGGAAAATCCAAGAAGCCCAGAGCGTTTAAAAAACTGAAAAATCAAGATTCTCTACCTCTCTGGTATACACATCAAACAAAAGCTTGGATGAACTCGACAATTTTTAAAGCTTGGTTTCAGAACGAATTTGTACCAGCTGTAGAAAAGCATCTTGCCATTAACAAATTGCCCAGAAAAGCCATTCTTATCCTCGATAATGCTCCTTCGCATCCACCGAACGATGAACTACGAGATGGAGATATCAGAGTTTTGTTTTTACCACCTAATGTGACGTCTATTTGTCAACCTATGGACCAGGGTGTCCTTGAAGCTTTGAAGAGAAGATATCGGCGCCGACTTCTTAGCTTTTTAATATCGTCCATTGACAACGACGGCGATTGCATAACTTCCCTAAAAAAAATCGACATACTGGATGTTATAAGATGGCTATCCGAAGGATGGGAAGAGATACCCTCAAAGACACTGGAACGGTCATGGAAAAAATTGCTTGAAAGTGAAATGCCCAAGGACGATGAGAATGCGAGCGAAAATCAAGAACTTCTGTCCTTAATAGTAAAAGTACCCGGCTGTGAGAGTGTGAATTTGGAGGACGTTACAGACTGGATAGAAAGTAATGGAGCCGACGACATAACCGATGATGATATTGTGACAATGGTGGTTAGTAACGAAACCGTTACCGAAGATATTGAAGACGAACAAATCAATCGTATTCCACACTCTGAAGGTCTTAAAATGATTGAAGGAGCTCTCGAGTATATTATTCAACAGGAGGAAGCAACGCCAGCAGATATAATTTGTTTAAGAAAGTGGAGGGACTTGTCAGCGGAAAAAAGAACACAGAGCGCAAAACAGGCAAAAATAGAAGATTTTTTTAAAAAGAAATAGTATGTAGATAATTAAAATATATTTAATATAACATACATATAATTATGTATGTATTATGTACTAAACTGTATGTATGTATGCATTTTCTCTTACCTTAATAAGTACCAATATAATATATATTGAGTTAAAATAAATTTGTTTAATAAAATTGCGTATGTTTGGACATTAATTCGGCTTATCCGGCTTTTTCGTTATCCGGTCTAGCTGCCCGCCACCTTAGGCCGGATAGTTGAGAGTTTACTGTATTTTGTGTTTTTGGCTCACAAAGAGATTGACAGTAGCTCGAAAAAAAAGTATTTTTCTATTTGACTCTTAGGTTTTGTGGATTTAGCAGGCTGGCTATTATTACCTCCAATCGCATCCTAAGAAAAAAATTCGGCCTGATTTTTTGTTCATTTTCCTGTTGTGCTTTTTGTCACTGCAAGCAAACTGTAGCTAAACTGTTTTCACAAAGCTTTTTGAAAAACTTAGTCAGACTTCGCTTTGAAATGATATTCCCAACTTGGGGGAATAGGACGGAGGTTTTTATCAGTGTAGTATCTATTTTGAATAACAATATGTCATTTTTTCAGACTGCTACGTGGCCCGTATTAGATTTTTATAAGAATGTGTTTGTTTATTTGTTACTTTTGTTTATGGATTTATACAGAAACTGTTTTTTTGAGAATTCTAAATTGATTTATTACTTGTTTGTATTTTAAAGGATATTATTTTTGTTTTAATTGCATGGAATTGACTTTGTTTTTATTATTTTATACTATACACTATGCACCGGCGGGCCTTCGGCGATCTAGTTCTTTTCTGCCGCTACACCAACGGGCTTTGCTCCTCGGAGCTCTCTTCCATGATGCTGCCGCGCGATGTGCCTGCCAGATAGACCCGCCCAACTTTGACGTCCCATCCTAACCGTGTCGAGCTTCTTTCATCCAGAACTGGGCGATACGACCGTCCCTAATTTCATTAGCCCTGAAAAGTATTTCAGCAGTATGTAGTTTAACCACTTTCTGTGTCTATACAAAACTGCATTCTGGTCTACATGCTTCTTACTTTGTAGACATACTTTTAGGTTCAGCCCCTTTAGGCAGAAACCAAATATATAGAATTTTTGCTTTTCCAGAAATCCTCCCATTGCTAATACAAACAATTATGATTTGTTAATTTTATTCATCTGTGACTTCCTTGTTTAGTCCGATGACGGAAATTTGAAATGTGCCCATAAAAATGATTTGTAGGAGCCACTGTTGTGGTCGATTTCGCGATATTAATTGTTTCCTGTAGATTGAGATATTGCTCAACCAAGTGGTGTTATCCAGGAAAAGATCTGGGGGGAGGCTTAAGATCCAGGGTGACACGAAAATTCCGTCTCGGGGTGGGGAGGGGTGTCTTGGAGATATAAAACTGCATAGCAGAGGGGGGGAACTCGCTTTGTCTCGAGAGTTTTGAGACTGTGGAACAATCTACAAGAGGAAGCTTTTCCCAGTTCTACTAACCTTAGTCAGTTCAAAAATCGTATTAACAAAATTTCTTTGGGATCATCATAGCAGCCGCGGTGTTTCGGCATTTAGGCTTCTGCCTGCGCGACTGCTTCGATATATAATATAGGTATATATATATACCACTATATGTATATATATACTCCATAATCATTTCAATTTTTGGGTTGTCTATTGAATACCAAATATATTTGATTTCCATAGAAAAATCTCTCAATCTCTGTTTGGGAATCTGACTGACCAGTTATTAAACCGACCGTCGGCAATGAGTAATCAGGGGAGCAGAAACATGTCGTCCTGCGACCTGTCTTTAGGTAGTGCGTCCCTCTTTTATCGAGTATAATTTATTGCCGATTTATTTCTTTGATGTCCTTTACCGCCGAATGATGGATCACTCTAAGCAAAAGCTAAACATACACGGTAATGTTTACCGAAAGGACATGCGATAAACAGGTTACAATAACAATAAGACTTTTGAGCGTAGCAGCTAGAATTTTTAGAGAAATTTTACATGGAGCACCCTTCAAAACACTTTAAGGATTGTGTATATTTCGAATTTTTAATTGTTGTGTTCTGAAGATTTAAAAATAGGAAAATTGATATATCATTATCTGCCGTTGGTAATAATGGAATCATCAGCTTGAGCATTTGATAGACCAAATGCGTATGAGTGAAAGACGAAAAGTAAGAAATCAAAGGCCCTGGATGGAATGAAGCTTCTCAAACTCTGGGAGATTTTAGGTACGAATTCGCGTCGTGTATCGGCGGAGTGTGGGTAGAGACAGTCGATTATGATTTGTTCACCAAAATATTCATACAGATCATATTGTGGTGGAATCATGAATCTGAATATCCATAATAGTTAGTTAACCGCTTAACGATGTAGTTTTTTTCAAAAATTGGTAAAAAATCTAATTTTTTTATTTTCTTATTTTGAACTAAATCGAAAGTTATTTTATTTTCTAGAGTTAAAAATTAAATAAAACCCTGAATTTTTGTAAAAAAACTTACATTTATTTTTACACATGTGCTTACCCGAGTTAACTAGGGCAACAAAAAAAAGTATTTATTTGAGGAACAAACCTAAGGTAACACATCTAAAACTTAAAAATTATATGTAAGTAAGTAAAAAAAAACATTGTTCTAAATATTTGCAACTGTGTGGTAAATCCTAAAGCATGGAGTCACACATAAGGGGGTTTCGCAATCTGCACAGTAATATTTGGTTTCTGTTCTAATCTTCTTTCCGCGTTCATCTCGAGCCCTGCTGCAAATTCCACATTGCCTGGTTGGATTTGTCTTTTTCTCAGTAGCTGGAATAAGATCTGGAAAATGTCGTCCTGTCAGACGAAACGGAGTGAGCTGGGTTGAAGGTCGTCCTGTTCTTGGAGTAAACTCAGTTTGATGATATTTTTCCATTATTTGCTTTATAAGCTCAAATCGGTATACAAGTGCTGATTTTGTTCCGCCCGTTTTTACATATATTATAAAAGAGTTCCATAGGGCTAAATCCGAAAGGTGGAAAAATATTTTTTCATAATATCTTTTACCTCTTTTTTCTTGGTAAGGTATAGTCAGCCAAGTGCTGGTCCACTCGGTCCACTCCACCCATGCTATCGTTATAGTCCCCAACCAATAATATATTGGATTCAGCCAAGTCTACCTTTGTATAATAAAAGACTTTCGTCAATTGCCACATGTTTCTCTGGAGTAACTGTAGCCCGAAATTTATTCACTAACTTGTCGTATATCGGCCATATCTTATTTAGCTTTGGGTTTGGGTGGTGCTCAGCGTCAAAGGTCTCGTTATCAGCAAAATGTAGATTTGACCTGATTGCTTCAAATCTTTTATTGCTCAGGCATTTTGCAAAAAAAGGTGTCAGTAATAAAGGATTTTTAGACCAATATTGCCTCATTTCAGGTTTTTTTATAATACTTTGAAGAATTATAAGCCCCAAAATACTCTCATTTCACCAGCAGTTACTGGGAACCATTTTTTGAATTTCTTTTGAATCGTATAACGATTGGTTTCAGTAACAATGTGATTGATTATCTCAGCATCAAAAAATTGTTCAAAAAATTGCAGTAAATTGTCCTCATCATTCGAGTGAAAATGAACACTAGGTCTGGCAGAAAATGGAAAAGCTGGTGGTTCCGGGGAATCAGGCCCTAACTTGCACCAATTACGCGCAAGCAACACATTTTCAGAGTTACTAGAATCAGAACTCGTCGTTGAAACATCCAAAGTTGTACCTGACCCACTCTCATCGACGACACCTTCGATATCAACCCCATCGAAACTTTCATCACTATCGCTCTCCATCGTTAAGCGTACAGTAAAACAAAACATAAAATCTGCGGCAATCAATCCCCTACTACAACCAAATACTAACTAACTACTAAATAACGCGGCGATGCGCGTAACCAGTAACGCTCCACCCCTTCCGCCTCCCCAGTTCGCACCACAAGGTAAACCAGTTCTTTTCCGTCAGTAAAAATGCCTATAATTGATTAAATCGTATTATCTCGGGTAGGCACACAATATACCTAATAATTTATTTTTGCCCGTGTTAACTCGGGTTGGCGAAAATATGAGAGACGAGCTTACCCGAGATATCTCGGGTAAACACGTTAAGCGGTTAACCAGTCTGCTGAGTATATTATTAGCGTGTATGTCCAGCTTTACATCCACCCTTCAACTGGATAGATACAACCACACACATGCCGGTATACAATAGGTTTTTTGTTTTTGATTTACTGCCTGGAGGCGACCAAGATATCCAAATAAAGGGAAGAAAGGTTACAGGCGGATGGTTCACCTGAATGGGTTCCCTACTATTATTTTTATTGATTTCAACAGAGTAATGCCTAGTTTGGCATTTCATAGAGTAATTGAGTTTATACAGGGTAATACATATTATTATTTTTTCTGTCTAGACGATATGTGATAAATATCATTTTCTGGAAAATAGGCTTGAAAAATAGAGTGCTTTAGCGTTCCACCCATTGGCGATAACCCACCTGTCGTTCTGGTTTCCTTGACATTGTGCAATATCAGTAACTACTATACTGATTCTAACAGAGGTTGGAATGGATTATTGTTCGGTCACAAGTTTGAAAATGAGTGTAAGAGCGCTAAACTTAGTAACCAGAAAAGAAAGCAGATTTTCCAAACTGTGTGCAATCACAATCACTTTGTTTTTTATATGTTCGTATTTATTTTTCAGGGAACATGAATAATGTAGACTGGAGAGTATAAAATTAAATAAAGAAATGGAACATCACATCTATTTTCTCGCAATATACTTGAATGATCTACTTTGGAATTGTTTGGCATTAATCATTGACGTAGAATGCAAAACTAAATAACAAATTTGTTTCGTATTTTCTTCTGTTTGGTACTACCCAGTCATGAATCACAAAAATTTAGTTGTTCAATAAAGAGTTCCAGCACGATGTAACTTTAAACTAACAACTTTTTAGGAGAGCATAAAAGAACGGTGGGCCTTTGGAGTCGCTATCGAATGATCTTATACTCCTCCATGTTTGTCTAGTCGCAAATGGATTTGTAATTTCGGACACCTCGCCAAAAACTGTTTCAACGACGGAGTGACGCTACTCTTCTATAGTCCATATCATTTCGCCACTACTTGCTCAACCACCTTAGGCGCTAATGCGACGTTGCAGTTCAGTATTTTGGGAGGCCAGAAGATGAAGGAGGTATGTGCAACTTCGATTGCAGATTTTTGTATGTACGTGGTCCACTTAATCGGCATGTAACATTATTTCGCATGAAATGACTGCGTAATCATTACCCATGACCAAGAATACTACCACGTGCAAGCATGGACAATTAATATTTTTTGATAATTTTTGATTTTTTTCATTATGAAGATCAAGTCACTCACTTCCATCAGTCGGTGTATTGGCGATTTTGTCACTGACTCATTTCACCGATTTTAATGGAAGAGGAGATGTAGTAGATAATTGTTAGATTAAACGAACTTACCTTAAGTGAAGTTCTATCTTAATTATATGCGGGCCTCGTGAAGTAAATAAAACACTTGTAGTTTCCCCGACTGGGTCGAATTCCACACGTTATCCAAGCTAAAAAAGAGCGACAATGTTGCAACCCTGCTCCCGCGTCGCCGTTACAGTCATTCTTCTTCAAAGCCCCACGTTGTTGCACTTTCTAGGGTTTAATGGGTTTTGGGTGGGCGTTATTTACTTCACGAGGCCCGCATATAATTAAGATAGAACTTCACTTAAGGTAAGTTCGTTTAATCTAACAATTATATGCGGGCCTCGCTTGTAAATAAAACACTTGTAGTTGTTTAAAGCGAGTGCAACAACTAAGCTGATCTTAAACCTTTATTAGAACATATTTCCATAGCTTAATGCTAGGTGGGCAACACTGCCTCAGCGAATATCTCGGTTGAAGTTAAAGGCCTCTGGTAGAACCCTGCAAAAACCTTTGATTTTTCCCTCCAACCTGCTGCTTTGCGGATTGTATCATAGTTAAAACCCCTTCGCGCTGCGGCTGAGGTAGAGGCATGTCTGGTAGTATGTGAGCTATACTTATCTGTATCAATCCCACTTGCCCTCAGCATTGCTTTGATCCATCTACTTATGGTCTGCGTGGAGGCGCTACGAAACGGTGGCTTAGTTGTAATAAATAATTTCTCTGTGGTGCCCCTAATGGGTTTTGTTTTTTCCAAATATATCTGTAAAGCTGTTGCAGGACAAATATCTTTTTCGGAATGGAAAAACGGTAGGATTAGTGTAGGTTGTGGCACGTTTCTACCAGAGGACTTGAGCCTCTTAGGTATTTTTATCTCTATCTTATCATCTACGGTAACAATGTTTTGTACTTAGATATTATGGAGAGTCTGGACCCTCTGTCCAGTGCAGATAGCCAAGAGTACAGCTAATTTCCGTGTCAGCTGCTCAAGAGTGATACCGTCATTAGGCAGTTTACGAGCAAGGTTGAGAACCAATTCCGGATCCCATGTGTCCTCATACTTCGGAGGGTTGGGACGTATATTGTACGCACCTCTGAAAAATTTTTTCACTCGAGGATCTTGTGTAAGTTCTCCTCCAATGATATGGCCTATCGCAGCTCGATAAGAATTCAGAGTACCGTATGAGACTCCTTTTCCAAATACGCTTGCAAAGAAATCCATTAACGCGCTTAGAGTAGGTTTGAATAAGTCAATGTTCTTTGCCTGGCAAAACTCCCACCAGGTCCTGATGCCAGAGTTGTATTGCTTTAAGATCGAGTCCGTTACTGCGGCTAGGCAAATTTCTAACGATCCATCTGGGACGTTGCCCTGTTTAAGGCCTTGTAGGATAAGCGCCCTGCCACCAGGGAAATGTTGTGCCAAAGCGGGTGTGACCTATTATTCAGGGAGAGAAGATTGTCAGATGGTTTAAAAATTAATGGTTCTTCTGTGAGCATCGAGGAGAATATTGGATACCACGGTTGAGCCTTCCAAACTGGTACAACCAATATTCCCTCTGCTTTATCTCGAATAATTTTCCGTAGCGTGCGAAGGACCAATGAAAAAGGCGGGAAGGCATAAAAGTATAGGCCATGCCAATTTACAGTGAATGCGTCGACGGAAACACAGTGTGGGTCGCCTTGCCACGATACATATTTATCACATTTCGCATTATCCTGTGACGCAAACAGGTCTATGTCGGGTATCCCATACCGTAAAGTTATTTTTTCGAAAACCGTATGGCTGAGTGACCACTCCGTTTCTGTCTGGCGTATTCGCGATGCGGAATCCGCTTCCTTATTTTCCGCTGAAGGGATATAGGTTGCGTAAAGGAACATATTTCTGTCCTCACACCACTTCCAAATCTCTTGGGCCAGTGCACTCAATTTTGGGTATTGTACACTGCCCATTTTATTTATGTATGCCAGTGCTGTGGTATTGTCCAGACGCAATAGTATGTTGCAATTGGTCATTTTTCCCGCAAAGGATTTTATAGCATGGAAAGAGGCTAACAACTCAAGATAATTAATATGGTGTTCTCGTTCTGTACTGTTCCAGAACCCAGATCTACTCTCATTATTGGCAGATGCACCCCAGCCTGTAAGGGATGAATCTGAGAAAATTTCAATGTCATAGTTGTCCACGCGAATGGTATTTTTCGCGAACGGCAATTTCTGTAACCACCATTGAAAGTCTGGTAACAGCGAAGCATCAATTTCCATTTTGGCGTCATAGTTATTGGCTGCTTTCCTGAGAGCCAAATATTTGGCCCGTTCAAAGTTTTTCGTGTATGCCCACGAATATTTGATCGCGGGGCAGCTTGCGACGATATTGCCCAGAAATTTAGCAAACTCCCTAATTTTACAAAATTTGCGTTTTGTAAATGCGTTTACAAGCTTCTGCATTTTAACCCTTTTTTCTGGTGTCAGGCTTACCGACATGTCTAGCGAGTCATAATGCATGCCCAAATAGTCGATGTGCCTTGAAGGAACTAACTTGCTTTTGTGATAGTTAATAATAAAGCCAAGATGCTCTAGAATTTTTGTTGTTTCTTGTATGTTTCTCAGGCATTCGGAGTAAGTTTTTCCTATCATAAGGAAATCATCGAGATAAAGCACAGACAAATGGTCCTTGCCTCTGAGGTATGCCAATATGGGCTTCATTAGTTTGGTAAATATTAGAGGAGCACAATTTAAGCCAAATGGCATTGCATTATATTCATAAAGCTTACGGTTAAATCTAAATCTGAGAAATTTCCTATATGAATGATGTATTGGTACCAAGAGGTATGCATCTTTGAGATCTAATTTGGCCATGTAACAATTTTGTGACATTATTTTCGCAACCGTTTTGTGGTCCTCTAACTTGAAATGTTTAACTTGAATGAAGTTGTTCAAACGTTTCAGGTTTAAAATTACCCTATCTGAACCATCGTGCTTTTTTCGGAGAAATATATTTGAGATGTATTGCCTATTTGACGGTTTGGCCGTGCTGATTGCCCCTATGCGGCTCAATTCTTTAAGCGCTATTTTAATGGTGGCTTCTTCCTTGAAAGACCATTTAGGCTCTTTAGGAAGGCATCGTTGGACTGGCTTCTGCGATAGGGGTAATTTTACCCCTTTAATCCATGACAAGATCATTCTGTCATTCGTGAACTTTTGCCACTCGTGATAAAAAGAAGCTAATCTTCCAGCTATGCTAACCTTATCTACTGTCTTGGGTTCCTGGTTTTTAGTTTGTAGCTGTTCTGACTCCCCTGGTTCAGTCGACGTGGTGGCTCTCGACGTGGTTTGTAGCGGTTCGTGGAGTAACTGGGGCGCTGGTGTTGATGTCCGCCTCGACGTGCCCCCTGCTGATACCGAGGCAGACTCTGGTAGTTTAACGGCTTGGCAGCATTCTGTAGTGGCTTAGCCTTAACGGCCTTCAGCTCTCTGCCCGATTTCTCCAGGTCTTTGGAAGATTTTAGTCTGGCTTCTAAGTCTGTCCCAAAGAGCAGCCCATCAACTGTGGCTTCCGATAGGATCTGTTTTACGTCAGAGTTCAGGTTAAGGGCTACTAGTTCGCGACGAGCGATGCTTTCTGTGCGATGCAGGTCAGTCAATAGTTTGCTGGCATCATTCAGCAATTGGATGTACGTTCTGTTGCCCCCTCCCTCTTCTTTGAGGATGAGGGTCAGAGCGCTGCCTATACAGGACAGGCTAGCGCCTATTTGGCGCTGTAAAGCAGAGAGTCTCTCATCTCTCTTCTGCACAGAGCTGGAGATTGCAGCTTTGACCTCCAAGTTAAGTGTTGGAGCTTTTACCTGAGTACAATTTTCAGGGGGGAGGTATTTTTCGAATAATCTGTTCTTCTCTTCCTCTTCCAAACCCATCTGTATGTTATGAGCCCAGCGAACTGCCAGATCGTTGTGGATAGCCGGTCCTACATCTGGCTGCTTTATTGTATTTTTCCCCAAGATGTTGAGGATATCTTCCTCTAGTTGTTCCCCTTGAGGCGGCGTATTCTCCTTACTGTGTTCTTCGATGTTTACTATAAATCGAAAATCAGAGAGTCAGTCAATCATTTTTGACATGTTCTGAGTTCGTGCAACGTTACACGTGGCTCGCACAGTTGAGCTGCATAAATTCCAAATGTCAATGCCAATGTAGATGTAGTAGTGAGCTGTCACAAGTTCGTGATGTACCAAACTGTTTCAGGTATCATAGCGAGCTGTCATAAGCCCAGGATGTGCAATGCTGTCGTGAATATCGGAGCGCGGTGTATAATCTGTAATAGGGATCGCTGTCATAGGCATTGTAATGAGCTGTCATAAGTTCATATTGTGCAATGTTATCATAAGCATTGTGGCGAGCGGTCACGAGCGTGTGCGAGGTAGGGCGATAGCGAGATGCATAATCTCATAAATTCAATATTATCTAGGTATTGCAGCAAGCTCGTGATGGAGAATATTGTCCTCAGCATTGTAGGGAGCTGTCGTGAGCTCATAATCCGTAATGCTATCATAGCATTGTGGCGCGCTGTCTGTGATAACCAATACTGTCATAAGTATTTTATCAGAGTTTCATATGCTTGTGATCTACCATACTGTCATAAGTATCGTAGTGAGCTGTCATAAGCTCTTGATTATAACTATTATAACAATCTGGTATCAGTTGTAGATTGGCCTCCTAACATATGTTCGTGACTCAAGTATTCAATTATTGTTCAGAATAGGTTCATTGAAGCACTTTGGTATAAGCTATGTAAGAATGTGACTCCGTGCCAATGCCCTTTTGAGTTGATTTTGCTTACCTGGAATGTTTTCGCAGATCTCCGAAAGTTCGGAAGAGCTGGCAATGCTGCATGCGTCTGTGCCTGGGACGGGTGGTTGCCGCGGCGGCGACAGCGTCAACGCTGATCGAATGGAAGATGGCGGCCGGGAAGATCCTCGTGAACGAGATCGCTCAATTTCACTCAATCGCCGCTCCATCGCAGCTAATTGCCTTTTCAGACGTTTCTCCCGACTTCTATCACCACTATTGCTCCTGCTACGGCGGCGTTTCTTATGCTTGGGCATTTTTCTGGTCACTAAACTACTTTGTTTACGCGTACGTGTGAGTTTATTCGACACACAAACGAAGAATGACTGTAACGGCGACGCGGGAGCAGGGTTGCAACATTGTCGCTCTTTTTTAGCTTGGATAACGTGTGGAATTCGACCCAGTCGGGGAAACTACAAGTGTTTTATTTACAAGCGAGGCCCGCATATAATAGTAGTTTATTGCATTACTCCCTCTCCATAAAATCGTTGGAACGGTTGCTGAGTGCACCGAGACAAAATGGCCAATAAAGAGACTGGTGGAAGTGAGCGACTTGCATTTACATCATAATGTATCCGAAAATATCAGATTTTCCATACTCATGCGTCCGAGTAAAACATCGATAATAATTTGTAGAGTTATCCCCACGTGAAAATATGTATACTGACACGTGGGCAACGTGCGTTCAGTGCTGAGTATGCCGCGCGACAATTTATTATAAATTCTTAACTTTTACTCCATACACTTGAAGAATCACTTAATTCTCTACATAAATGGATAACAATCTTTTAAGCGTTTGAGCTGTTAGTTTAACCATTATAAACGAAAATGACCTGAAATGTAACTTTACCCTTAATTAACTTGTCATATTTACCCTTAATTTTCTTGACATATTCACTGTATGACAAGTTTTATGCAAGAAAAGTGATGAATTTAATTCCCTCCAAACGCGTTTTTTAAATGAAACACTCCAACCAATTTGAACTTGTCATCAAATTGTAGGAAAAATTTCATAGGCTACACCTCACTTTCTAAAAGCCACAAAAAATAATTTGGCATCCATACACTTATGTTAGAAAATAAAATTGAATCATTGTACCATGTAGTATCAATTCTGTATAATTATCTGTTTACACATTTTTTTGAATCCATTTTCTGTAATTTTACATTCTTATCTATTAAAATTACATCACTATGCATTTTGAGTACTCATAAATTGATTGTTTAATTTCACCTTGAACATTTTTAAATTCGAAAACTGTTTAATATAATAATTATTCAATTTATTAAATTCGAAAACTGTTCAATATCATTATTCAATTCATTAAATTCAAATATTGCCTTTTGAAATACAAATCTGCTAGTTATGCTACTATTACAGTCTTGCAGATAAAAACCTATACTGCCTCTATTTTCGAAGTTACTATAATAACTATTTAATTTTGTGAAGTTTTTTAAATGTAGTGGTAATGAATGGTTGTGCAATTTGAATATGAAAATGAGAACTAAATAGCATATGAAATTTTTTACATTCAATCACTGTAGTTCTTCTAACATAGACTAAATCCTAGCATATTTGTTTTTATTTAAAATGATTCCTATAGCTTTATGTTGTAAAATTTGTAATTTTGAAAATATGTTTTTATTTGCTGTGAATAAAACAGTTGAACAGTATAAAATATGTGGAAGAATGATGGTGATATACACTTTTTTTTGAATACATAGGGGAGACCGGGGCTGGTTGTGACATTTTTTTTTCAAACTGTCATATCTTCTTAGTGGTTCAATTGTTTCACCTGAGTATTGGTTTGTTTGATGAAGTAACTATTCAGGATCTTTTACCAAAATATATTTTATATAGCAGACAAATAGCAATGACGTAAATAAATGGATTCTGAAAAGAAAACCGTGTAACTTTCAACCCCATGCAGGGGGCTGGTTGTTACATTACATGGGGCAAATTGTTACACTAAGAAACAAACGTATTATAAGAGTTTTTATTAGGAACACTCAACATAATTAGTCACTTTTCTTAATTTCAATAATATGCTTATATCTATAGAGCAGTATTTTGCCTCATTACAACGAAAACATCTAAAAAGAAACAAAATTACAAACTTAACATTGGGTATTCTTCATTAAATCAAAACATGGATAATTTTTCAACTACAAGATTATAAACCTCTGTAGGTATTAAATAAAACCTTCGTGCCTACTAATCAACATAACGTATTTTGTAATTGAAGATAAACTACACTTAAAAAAATACCAAGCAGTTTAGTCACTGTAGTCTGAAAAATCACTTTCGCAGTTCACACATACGTAATATGCAATATTTCCTCTAACACATTTCACATGTGACCAATTCTTGCAAGCTCTACACTGTACCCACTCCTCACCAGATTTCTTCGGATCAAAAGGATCACAACACATCAGACAAAAATATCCATCCTCTTCTGCACTTTCTTCGTCAGTGTCATGTAATACTTTCCTCTTTGCAGCAAGGATTCTTTTTTCGTTACTTGTTTTCCTTCTCTTATTGGTATTTTCCTGTTCTATCTCTGTCTTCTTTGCTGTAGATTTTCCCCCTTTATCTGACTTTTCTTTTTTGGATTGTTTATCCTTCTTCTTACTCTGTTCCAGAGCCAAAGCATTTTTTTCTGGTGTATCAGTTAAAATTGCTGATTTGCGAGTTTTTCTTCTTATCTTGGTTGTTCTCGCAGCAGCTTTTTGATAAGGCCGAACAGTCTCGGGAGAAAAATTATTTTCGTTAGGCATCATATCTTTACTACAGCCAGCAACTGGGTTAGCATGAATGGAGCTCTCGGGATATGCCATGGCACTCTGTATAGGAGAATGAGGAGGAGGTAGAGCTGAAACATAAGCCTCCCCGTTCTGTGTCGTAACAGGAACATTTTCGATGTTCGAGTTGATCGTTTCGCCTAGTGGTCTATCAGTAACAAAAGCCGACAAAAAGTCATCATCTTGAAAAATATCTTTATTGAATGGTGCAATACCAGTCTTCTTAAATCCGTTAATAATGTTCTTGGGATTTAATGCCAAGGGTAAAGCATTTTTCACTATTGATGGTATATCATGTACAGTCATTGTCTTTCCTGGATTATTTCTAAGCCAACCATCTTGTTGACTGGCACAGTAATTTTTGAATGGTCCGTAGACCGCCACATCCATAGGCTGGAGCTTATTCGAACAGTGTGGTGGGAAGGACAGCAATACCACATTATTTTCTTTAGCCATTTCGACGACATCAATATCCAAGTGTGAAGAATGATTGTCTAATAATAAAAGAACAGGGTCAGATGGAGATGGTTTCACATTATCTATGAAATGCTTCATAAATGTTTTGAATTCAAGTCCAGTCATCCAGCCACTTGCGTTTCCGGCGCCAATGCAGCCTGGAGGTCCATCGCGAACAAAATAGTCTCTGTATTTAATTCGAGGGAAGATAAACATACATGGCACCGAGTTTCCCACTGCATTTGCTGCTGCGCAGATAGTTACAAGAGTCCCTCTCTCTGCTGATGTGATGGAACCAACTTGTTTAGATCCTTTTGGAGCTAAAACTTTTCTTGGTTTCAGTACTGTTGTCACACCTGTTTCGTCTACATTCCATATCCGTGCCAAAGGAAATTTATATCTATCCATCACATCAGCCAATTTAGAAAAGAAATCACCAACATTCGTTTTATTGAATGATGTGGCTCTGCTCAAGCTTGTAGCTTCTGGTGATCTTATAGATAACGACTTATTGCGTTTAAGAAATGCCGCTAGCCAATCAGACCCTGCTTCCTTTTTGTCTAGCCACGATTGTGGCATTACAATGTTGTGCTTAAGTGCACAAGAAAATGCCAGTTGCTTGACATCCTTTGGCGTTAGTCCGTAGTAAATTTGGCTGCATTTAATCAAATAACTCACCAAAATTGCCTCTTGTTCATCGTTAAAAACTTGTCTATTCTTCTGGTAGCCGACTGTGAGAGATTCCACAGGTGTGCCCTTCTCTTTTGCTTGTTTTCGTTTCTTTAAATATCTTGTTAGCGACATATGACATAATCCGAAATCCTTAGCGATGCCACGAATTTTTTTAGTTTTGTCTTCCTCCAAAATAACTGCTGCTTGCTCATAAATATCTTTAGATATTTTGCCCCGCTCCGTTTTTCTTATATACGTCCTCATCCTATAAAGAAAAGACAAAAAATATGTAGCACAAACTATGTCAGTCGGAAACAAGCACTACGGGGCAGGTAGTGACAAATCACAACCTGCCCCGAGCAAACGTAACTTTTAGCCCCACCGCCAAATCTGATCTTTTAAGGTTATGTAGTGAAAACGACAATAAACGTAGCTGTATAAAAGTAGATTAATTGCAAAGCGCCAGCACTAGGGCATAATAATCACAACAAGGATATCTCTGCCTTTATGTAACATAGGTTGTAAACCAATATTACTAAAAGTATAAAATTTTACTAACCTGCGATTTTAATGGCAGCATGCACGTGCTCCCCTCACAAAAACGCTGGCACCACTGGCTCCCGGGGCATGCGTGCCGGCAGTGGCGGGAGTATTTGTCCCTTTCTAACGTCAGTATTGCGTTCTCTGTTCCGCGATCATTGCCACTGTAACAACCTACCCCTGTCACTTTCAGCCCCGGTCTCCCCTACTAAGATTATGGGAAACTCTATAGAAGTAATTTATCTTTTTTGATATTTTTGAAATATATATATATATGAAATATTACTCGTGAAACAGTAGTTTATTATCCACATACCTATATACCCAGATATTTAAATGATTGATTTTATTGATAGACAGAAGAATGTGAGTTTATTATATATTAGGTCTTATGTCTTATGAGAAATTCTATGGAATAAATAAAATGTATTCTATTAATGCTGTTGTTTTCTTATTTTTAAGCTGCCATAAATATGTAATTTTATGTGAACTGTTTTATAGTTTTCTTCACAATTCCTTTTATCTTGCCAGCTGCTTGATCAATCTTTTCAGATACGTGATACATTTTAATAACTCCCTGTTTCATGGAATTTCTTTACGCCGAACTATGCACACAGGCACGGCGGCTACTATGAAAATCACAAAGACATTTTCCTAATCCGATTTTTGAACTGCCTAGGTTTAAAACAACTGGGAAAAGCTTCTTCTTGTAGATTGTTACACAATCTCGACATCATCGGGACTAAGGAGCAGTCGTATCGGTACAGAGGTATTCCTTAACGCGTGTACAATAACCTGGACGGACAGAAGTTATATACTGAATTTACAACTTCCGGTACAAGCATTTGCCACGGCCTTGCTCAATAGGGGAGTATTGGAGGGTGTTGCCCCTTTTCCAAATAATTTCAAACCACCAGTCAACAGAGAGGATCCACTTGTCAAATATATTAAATAAAATGCTGGTTAAATTCTTTTATAATACAATATTTCATAATCATTGTTTTCAGTATCTCTAGATTAACCATTCTAAAAATCTTCATTTCTGGCAATTCTTCCAATAACTAATTTTTTTGGAAGCTGTTAGACACACACATTATGGGAATGAAAAATGATTCAAAAAGTAATCATTTTATTTTAAAAAAATAAATTAAAAGTAAAAAGCATACATATTACATTATTTGATTTAGAAAAATTTCGATTGCCAACAGATTCGTTTCATACGTAACTGACTACGTTTTTACAAAAAAATTATACAACTAGTGGACCTTCATGAATATGTGACCTCTGTGATAGTTGATAAATTCTCGCGCCCTCTTGAAAATTGTCAGTGATTTTAAAGAGTGTGTATAACGAAATCACAAGGACTCTGCAAGTAGTAATTTTGCCACGTGGGATACAATCCATAGGATGCCTTTTCCACCAAATAAACAATTTTAAGATCAAAATTCGAAAATCGACGCAGTTGGTATCTCTAAAGCCGGCTCTCAACCCATACAAATGGAACGGGCTTTAGCGTTACCCTCCTATATTGGTATTTTCTTTCATTCATTTACCTGTAGACGTTCCTGAAGGCATCAAAGCAGTAGTTTAATTAATAATGCATTTTATATTTAAAAGTTAATGAGATTCTTTCAATGTAATGACTGAACATTTTTTAAGTTAGCTTCAAGAGCTGTCTAATGACACATATTGGAATAAAAACACCAGGTGTAAATACTTATAAACATGAGTATACGTTATATACTCATATATAATATACATGTATTTTTATAATATAAAATGTATGTAACTCTTTATAACTACAAATGGAGCTCCTGATTTTTTGACCTCTCCTTGGCTCTGATTAACTATCGCTTAATGATGCTAATGCTTCCATACTCCAATATGAAGGAATATGGTCGGCGTCTAAAAACGTAGAGTTATTGGTAAATAATTGACACACATTTAGGGTTGCCAGGTTTAAATTTGAAAATTGCAGAATGTCGTTTTCCAAGGGGAGGAGCAGAATATGAAGGACATTTTTTATTAGACTAATGCACAATTCATATACAAAAGGAGTTATTTTTTGACAATGCATACAACAGAAGATCAGAGATTTTTTTTCAGACCCAACAGTTTCCGACCACTGTTTATTTTCCATACATTTTTTGCACCCTTAGTTTTAATGTGTAGCTCTGCTTTGATATGGTCGATCAAGATGAAAATTTCAGCTGTCACATCAGATGACCATGTCAAGAATAACTCATTGCTAATCCTCCTGAATCCTGACACCTAATAAGAGAAAACCAATTTCAAATATTAATTTTAAAAACTTTTTGTACACACTTATTTACTATATTTCATACAAGATATTAGCAATTTAAAGTTACTATTAAATTAACTATACTACAACTATTTAAAACTGTAATGACTCATACGCGTGATCAACACGTGATCAGAGCTCGATCCCGGCTTCCTTCCAGTACAGCCGTATAGCGTACGACATATGTCGTTTCTGTTGCTTTGCGGTGGTCAACAGCACAGACAGAGATGGAAATAATGGCTGATTGTTCTCCGCCGGTAGAACCAATGAAATCAAAGACGCGCCTCGACCGGAGACTCATAGGCGTCGGCAACGCATTGGAACGTGTTTCGTTGAGCGATCGCATATTGTGTGTTTTTATAAGAATTGTTGTGTGATTGTTATTGTTGTGGTTTCTGTGGTTACTGTTTTGGTTATACTTAACCATGGAGAGTACAAATGGCACGAGTGGAAGTACTGAAAGCCAGGGAACAAGTAGACGGCTTCGTAAAGCACTGAAGAGGGACGCGAAAGAAATCGTGCTCAACGTGTTCAATTATTTGAACAGAACTATGTCGCAGGGAGATGCACTCGCGCGTTGTGAAAGTATGACAGGCGTTCCAGAGTGGACAATTCGCAGGGTGGTGCATGAAAAGAAGAAAACTGGAGCTACTACTGATCCAAAGTTTAATTTGAAGGGACGAAAGGCCGTTAAATTGGATGACGATAGCAAAATGGCGTTAAGGCGAACCGTACATTCATTCTTCTTTAGGAATGAGATACCAACCCTCAAGGCTGTACATGCAGCGATCAAGGAAAATGAAATTATACCCCAAATGAGCGTCGAGGTAATGAGGAAATCCCTGCACGAAATTAATTTTCGTTACGAAACGCGTAATCGGAAGTCAGTATTGATAGAGAGACCTGAAATAGTCGCCTGGCATCGAAAATACCTACGCGAAATGATTGAATATATGTTAGGCGACAAAGCAGAAAAATCTATTATTTCGACGAGACATGGGTAAATGCAGGTCACACAGTTAAAAAACCTGGATAGACAAAAACGTAGTGAGTAACCGACAAGCAAGCATTGAAGGTTTGTCAACAGGTCTTCGTGGACCGTCAGGGAAAGGTCAAAGATTGATCGTAACTCATATTGGTAGCAATAGTGACTTTTTAGAAGAGTGTGACTTGATTTTCGTCTCTAAGAAAGGAGGTGATTACCATGACGAAATGAATGCCAGCTGCTTCGAGAGCTGGTTTCAAGGGGTGCTTCAGCGAGTTGAGCCCAACTCTGTGATCGTCATGAATAATGCTTCCTACCATAGTCGTCGAGCCGAACGTGTACCGACTATGGGATCTCGAAAAAGTGACATGCAGCAATGGTTGCGCGAAAAAGGAATCCCGTTTGACGATTCATGTGTGAAAGCGGAATTGTATGAAAAAATTAAACAGCACAAACCTGCGAACATTAGTTACGTGACTGATGAGATGGCCCGTCAATGTGGTGTCTCTGTGCTGCGGTTACCGCCCTACCACTGTGAACTGAACCCAATAGAGCTCATCTGGGCTCAAGTGAAGGGTTATATTGCGCGCCATAACACAACCTTCAAATTACCAGACGTTAAGGTTTTACTTGAGACTTCCATACAGCTAGTAACGCCCGAAGCTTGGCAGAATGCTATCCGTCATGTTGTGAAGGAAGAAACAAAAATGTGGCAGCTTGACCACCACATCGACACCATCATAGAGCCAGTTATAGTCAATTTCAACGAGGAAAGCGATAGCGACAGTTTATTACTGTCAGATGTAAGTGGAAGCGACGATGAATAAAGGTAATTCCCAAATTTTTGACTTACAATATGTTTCAAACCACTCTTTATTAAGCATGTGACAAATCTAGTTCACCCATGTTAAACATTCATACCCCGCCTATGAACAGCCGACTACTGGTAGTTAAGTGATGTTCACGTGAACATCGATGAGTCATTACAGTTTTAGATAGTTATAGTATAGTACATTGTAATTACTTTCCAATCTAGCCATTCTTCTTCAAAACTTCCAAATTTTTCCTTGGAAGTCAGTGGCAGTGAATTGTTGATTTCCTTATATTGCTTTAAACTAGTGTTAACTGTATAGAGAATTCATTGCCATATTAGGATTTTAGAAGTTATTCATCGTGATATATCAATCTTGATGTGATTGAATCTTTGTGTTTGATACTACAAAATCGTATTTCCATCTTCCTGAAATGTTTTTTTTTTTGGAGAAAATTCTGATGAAGCTATTAAACAATGACAAAAAGTTGATTTATTGAAAGTTTTTTTCTCTATGGCTGTTAATCTATGGTGGATTGTGATAGCAACCTCAATATTTCGTCCCCTAGCAAGCTTTGTTTTTTTGCAGATTGTACAATTGAATGGTACAAATTGGTACAAAGTTCCACAAAAAGAATGAATCATCTCTATGTCAGATACATTATCAGACTGCCTAAGTGACTATATTTGAGATATGGCTGCCCAGATACTTAAAGTAGCTAATAAAATCCTAGCATTCTATTGGCCTCAAATTTAGTGCTCTGATTACCTGATTTAGGTGGCATTGATTGGTACAGCAAATGTGATCGACTATATATTTCTTTTGAATGTGCTAGGGGTGTACAGTGTTTCTAATGACTGGATTAGCAGGTAAAACACCGTAACCCTGGTACTGATGGGGCTTGAGGTTTGATATCTAGTTCATACTTCATAACTTACAGACACAGACCATTTACATGTTATATTATAAGCAATCACAATAAATCTATATAGAAAGTATGAAGATCACTTTAAAAAATAAATCATTCATCTGAGGCAATTCATTTGAAATAACTTTAGACAATTCTTTCAATATCTTAAAAAATGTTTACCTGAAATGCAGAGAAAACTGTGCATTTTACATCAGATTCCAAAGTCTCTGTGGCACTGATATCATATTTTGGATTCTTTCTAATCATTTTCCTTTGATATATATTTCCATTTGCAGATTAGATATCTGGTAGTTTTGGCTTTCTCCGCTTTTCTTTAGGCAATATTAAATTCTGAAAAAAAAAATAGTTCAGTTGCAGCAAATATCCAAATTTCCAAATTGTTACAATCCTAAATACTACTGAAGATGTGATTGCTAACCATTGTCACCCAATGAACATACTTTATATATTTCCCAGTATATTCATCAGGATCATCCTAATCATCTATTAACTTCAAAGATTTCATTCCTCTACCAACATTCTACTACATCTTCTTTTATCAAGACAATAATTACTCAAATCACTATTTTCTTTGACCTTCATTTGCAACCCTACAACCAGAACATATACTGTAATGCTTTAAGTAAAAATGAAAATTACTCTTATTCATTCATCTCAAGAAAACCATCTTTGGATGTTCTTTGTTTTACAGTCAAATAAGCCACGTACAGCACAAAATTAGCAGATAAATTAAAAGTGAAACAAATTCTTTCAACGTTGGCATGAAATTAGTTTATAAAATACGTTGTGATTACAGTTTACACTCGATATGTTTTTGTAGTTATTTCAAGTAACATCTCAATAACATAGTGCTGAAACATGATTTTTCATAATGTAAATATCTACCTACGTCAAAAGCTTTATATTAAAAATACTCATACACTTTTAATTCCAAGAAAAATAAGATGAATATGATCAACAATTATAGTGGAGAAAATATTTCGACAAAAATGAATTTACACATTCAACAGGTTCTGTTAGCATTGACTTAATTTAAGTGTAGGTATTACCCATAAGCCATATGCTTCCAAAATTACTCATTTTGATAATTTTGTGGTATACCAACATAAAGGAGTCTGCAAGTATGGAAAAATAATGAACCAATAACTTTTGAAATTGTTTCGTTTTATACTGTGAGGAATTACATCCTGGTACAATAGGTTCACCATTGTGTTAAAATACAGTAAATCCTCTGCTACAACTTGTGTAGGTGAATAACCCTGTACGGCGATTGATACCAAATATATTTGATTCATTAGTAGCATCACATATGTTGAAAAACATTACATTTACCATTCAAAATAAATCCATAATGGTGTAATTCAGAAATCTCTTGCACTAAATCATGTGAAGCCCCTTTGGCTTCCACTGTACGAACTCAAACACAAATCACAAAAAACAGAAGCATTATTACAAATTATATTATTATTTACTCTTATAAAAATTATTATAACTTAAAGAAGAGATCACGGAACCGTTGTACGACAGGCTTAAAGATCCTGATGTTCGTGACAGATGATACGTTATGACACCTGCTAGTCAGTTAAGTAAACAATTCTAAATTTGTTTCCTTTTAACATTGTCCTGTAAGAGGACAATGGCCTTAAATCATGACACAATTATTACATGTATTTTAAAAAATAAGTATATTCACTTACCTTCAGAACCACATCAAATAAAAAACAGGAGTGAGTTAGCACAGATCAAACATTTGTATTTTCTATTGAAATCGCAAAATAAGTTTTTATAAAACTTAAACGACTGGAAATAAAAAAAGAATGTAATAACCTTTACACATTCATAAATATTCCTGTCTGTAGAGTATCTTCTCACCTGTTACTTCACCAACCCGCGATTTTCTGTTCTTATCTCTCACAGTTTTTGAAATTCAGCAAACTTGCATAATATAATTTCCAGGTTGAATAATAAAGAGTGGATGCGCAACTAATTTCAACTTTTGAATACATCTGAAGAAGTCTATTTGAGACAAGACCCCAATGGAATTACCATTAACACATATTATTAGCACGCACATCCTCACTATGTACCTATGCACTGCCTTTTCCTTCCAAATGTAGTCTATAGTATACAAGTTACAGCTTAGATCTAGATATAATGCCATCTCTGAAGCACTTGATACATCACATCATAGCCAAACTCACAGATAATGACGTTTAGGCAACACGTACAACTCAAACGGTTCCCTTCTAGTGTGAATCGCTAGTACTAAGTCAACATCTTGGCGAAAAACTTGCATAATATTAATAAAAATCGGTACAATGTCACTTTTAAAGTTACGTGATACCCGTGCCGGACTGTGTCAGAAAGAGTGACTAACTTCAGATTACTTTTCTTCCGCTGGATATCGATAATTTTATTCCAATATTTTAGAGTATCGATACTTCCTAAAACGATAGAAATCGATACATAACGATACTTTTCGTGGATCTAAACATCCCTAATCTTGACAGCTTGTCGTTTTTGTCAACTTGGCTGCAGGGTGCGCTGTTGCCTTTACTATCTTACATTTTGATAAAATCTTATGACAAATAAAGGCTTCAAATGAAATATTGACGAATATGAACGGATATGCATAGAATTTAGAATATAAACTCATATTGCAAATTTCAGATTGTCTATGCATGGACTTGAACCAGATTTTTCGGTATTTTTACCGAAAAGAGAATATTTGCCGATAACATCATTCTCCACGATTTTTCAAAATAATTTAAATATTTCTATACTTGCCGAAAAAGAGCTGAAACCAAAAATAAAGCTAAAAGTTAATTTTATGTAGTGTTCATAGTTGTATGCCCCATATCAATCATACATATGCATACACACTCAGGCAGTCGGGCACATGAGAGGGATAGATTTGGGTTGCCTATGATTACGAACGCACATCCTGATCCCTTACCCCACTTGCCCTGACTTGATTTCTGTGCATACAAAAGGTACAGACTGGTAGATTACCGTCATTACCTCATCACCGGACAAGCAATAAACAAACCAAAACCTGACTGTTTTCGAAATAAATATTTAATTAAAATGAGAGATGAGTTCATGAGTTCAAGGGTAAAACAGAAAAATATATACAATATTATAAGCAAGAATTGAAAAAGGAGTTTCCAGAATGGTTACAAAGTACTTTGAAAGAACGATGCACATTGTATAAGTTGTAATATAGAACTATGTCCTCAAAAAACATGTGGGCGCGCCCAATACAATAACAGACGTTTTTTATGACTCAAAGGTCCTTGATCTACCACTGATCTTGGGACGGCATTTACCTTATACCGAATGGGGTATTTTCCAACTTGGTGATATTGTCCTATTGATGGCTGAAATCGATTGTTTACAGCATTTATCAATTGGTATACACTTTGCACGCGCTTTTTTCACCCATTTGCTGGAAAAAATACATTTGAAATTCATAGCACCAAGTGGGTTCATTTAAACTTCTTGTAGGTACCTTCGAAAAAATCAGCCAATCGGAATCGATTTTTTTAAAGGTCCTCATTAGAATGTGACGATATTTCTATCAAGGATAAGCATCAGCGCTATTGCCATGCACTAGGGTATTTCATGAAAGTTCACGACTTAGCAAGGCTTCTTTATTCCGATCAACAGTGTTGTCTCAATGGTGTAAATGTCTATATATAGTAGATACCAAATAAAATCCGATGCACGTCATAGGTGATGTCATTCATAGAAATCATGGTTACCAACAGTTTACTACATTCAATGTGACATTTCTACTTGAAGTTTAAATTTCCCCGTCTCGATTCGGTTGGTAGTGTCGTGCAGAGAAATGTGAGGTTGCCACTTCTCATTTGTTGACATCAGTTGCCATTGTCCTTTTGTCGTACTATTAGTTCTTTATTGTTTAGTTTGTGAGTTTTGCGCTATTTGAGCTTTGAATCGTTGCCTTGCCAATTAAAAATTGTTCTTTTCAGGACAACAGTTACTGTGTAGTGGTGTAAAGTATCCAAAATGCCAAAACAACTTAACAGTCGGTGTAAAGAGCTCATATCATTGAATATCTACCAAAATCAGGTGTTTTTATTCAGAAAGGAATTTAATTTTACAACAAGTTTATTTATTTTTAATATAATGGTATTATAGTAAATGGTAGGTACATATAAACAATTTATTTTATTAAATTTATTTGCTTAAAAGAAAATGTGCAAATTCTGGCAACAGCGCACAGCTCCAGATCGATGACGTGCATCGAGTTTTATTTGGTATCCACTATATGTATGTATAGCTGTAGGTCGACATAACTTGGCAACATTGTGGTACAACAAGGGTCAAACCATTGACTTTTGATACAGGGGGGTGAAACTTATATTGGCGAATGGGAAACAAAGCAGTGTTGCTGGTACATAATATGACAACCATGTCGCACCCTCAAAAAAATGGCGACTTATTCACAACTGACGTTGTCTATTGGCCAGATTTAAATTTCCGGCGCGTTTCTTCCTGTGCTTTGCAAGCAAAAATAACCTTACTTTTTCAGCATGTCATTTTTTTAATATCTCATTTTAATTAAATAAGGTCCCTATTATGTTATTTGAGTCATATGCATTTTGTTCGGAGTTGTGAAGTACAACATTGTAAGTACACAAAGCTGTAATGCCTATGTTTGTAAATACTATAAGACAAACTCCACATCAAAACTCTCTTTTTTAAAGTGATCCAAGTCATTAGCCAGGCTTCTGGCAGATCCTGAGGAAGAGCAGAGATGCAGCGACTACTCATTTTAGGAATGTAATATTTGAAGATCCTACCTGTTTGTATCTCCACATCACTCTTTGAACAGTGGAGCCCCACGAAAAGTTCAATAGCTGCAGTTGTCAACCCCTGAGGTCCTGCTATTTTCAGAGCTGTAGGGTTGATATGTAAAGTTCACTATAATTTTAATGAAATCAAAGCCAAGTATTGTTATTGAACAATAACATGGGTGCCCTCAGGGGGGCTGTGGTAACAGTTATCTCTTGACGATGATCAGCACATCCGAGAAAAATTTCTGTGGGTACCCATGGACAATCATGTTATTGTTCTAATAAAAAATAAATCTGTGAATTATAGTAACATATCAACACAATTCAATGTTTTTCTAATTTTTGATTTATGCAGGTACCATCAAAGGCTGGGGAATGCAAACATCTGGACCATAATGATGTTAATACTGATTTGTTTGTAGAAAAATGTATGAGATTTATATAAAAAATATATATTTAGGTATTTGCTGTATATGTTTTTCTTCTGAACCTTTCCAGATTAGTAAGTAGATATGAATGATCTTATAACAGCTTGTGTTATTGATGTTGCTATTTTAACATACAAAAATAAATCATTTATTCGTCAAGATAGCGCAAAATGTTAATAACACATGCTGTAATAAGATCTCCCATATCCCACTTCTATATATAAAAGTATAACAATCTCAAATTTATATGTAGAGCTGGCAACGTTGCGGGATATTAATGCACAATCTGGCAAGCATGTTGCACCCTCAAAAAATGGCCATACAAGTCACCGTGTTGCCATTGAATAGCATGGAATTAAACCTTATTCAGTGTATATGTTTTGTGGTGTATATGTTTTGTGTCCCAGACGTGTTATAATAATAGAAATAAGAAAATAAAACAATGTTTGGAGATATGTTTTCATAAATAGGTATTTTTGATTCTGACTTATAATATCTAGGCCATGAATAACACTGATCAACAGCCAAAAAATATCCTAAATAAAATCAACAAAATATTACTATTTTTAATGTGCTAAAACAGGAATGAAACTTATTTTTTCAATATTAGTTCCAATTTTAGAGATACGGTAATTATATGTGTTCCTGCTGTGACAGTGTTAATATACTGTAATTCACAAGAATGCACGTGCTACATTTGTATATTCGGCAAGGGAAGATGATGTAATCGCCATGATTGTGTTACGTTATACATACGTGTACATTATATTGTTTTATATTAGCAATTTTTTCCTCGGTTGGCTGACAGCGTTCATGCAAGATGTCTCGAAAGTGTGTAAACAATCCAGATCAGTTTTGTTACGTGTGTGGTGATGTGACTTTTGCGTCTCAGAGACGGTCTATTACTCCACTAATAACAAAGGCATATCAGCTTTATTTCGGTTGTAAACTAAGTGATCAAGACAAACAGTGGGCACCCCACATCTGCTGTAATACATGTGCTTCAAGTCTGAGGAGCTGGTTAAATGGCAAAAAACGGTCTATGCGCTTTGCTGTCCCAATGGTTTGGAGAGAGCCTACAAATCACATTAATGATTGTTACTTTTGCATGGTACCTTGTGTTGGACAAGCCACAGGTATGTCCAAGAAAAAAAAAATCGGTTATTAACTACCCAAACATACCATCTGCGATGAGACCTGTGCCTCACAGTGACGAAAATCCTATTCCAAAACCCCCAGAATCCTACACTTGCGGAATCAGAAAACGAATCAGATCATGGCGATCGAGTGATTCGTCAGGAAGAAGATATGCCATCAACGTCAAGAGATCCTGATTTTATACCGAGCACGTCATGCCACCAACCGCACAAAATAACACAGTCAGAATTAAATGATCTTGTAAGAGATTTAGAACTTCCAAAATGTAAGGCAGAGTTACTTGGATCAAGACTGCAGCAGTGGAACTTGTTAGAAGACGATGTTTCGGTATGTGTTTTTCGTAAACGCCACAAAGACTTAGAACCATTTTTCAATATGGAGAATAACTTGGTTTTCTGCAGTAACATTAACGGCTTACTGGCGGCTTTAAATATAAACTATAACCCAGAAGAAGGGAGATTGTTTATAGACAGTTCAACATTGTGTTTAAAGGCAGTGTTATTGCATATTGGAAATATTTTACCATCTCTTCCTGTAGGGTATGCAGTTCACATGAAAGAATCATATGACAATATGAAGTACCTATTGACATGCATAAAATACGATGAGCACCAATGGCATATTTGTGGCGATTTGAAAGTTGTTGCACTTTTACTTGGGTTGCAGCTAGGCTACACAAAGGTTTGCTGTTTTTTTGTGAATGGGACAGTCGGGCAAAGGCACTTCATTACACCATACAAAACTGGCCTGTTTGTCAATTCCTAGAGCCAGGTCAAAAAAATGTACAGCATATGCCATTAGTAGATTCGAAAAAAAATTTATTACCACCACTGCATATCAAGATGGGCCTAATGAAAAACTTTGTCAAGGCATTAGATAGAGATGGGTCAGCTTTTCAATACCTGCGTCAGAAATTTCCAAGACTAAGTGAGACAAAGGTTAAAGAAGGTATTTTTGTTGGGCCACAGATTCGAAATATTTTGAAAGATACACAGTTTGAAAACACTTTAACAGGTATTGAAAAAACTGCTTGGAATGATTTCCTTCTGGTGGTCACTAATTTCTTGGGAAATAGAAAAGCTGACAACTATAAAACCCTTGTCAAAAATATGCTGTCATCGTATCAAAAGATGGGCTGTAATATGTCTCTTAAGATACATTTCCTACACTCACACCTTTACTTTTTTCCTGACAATTGCGGAGCCGTAAGTGATGAGCACGGCGAACGTTTTCATCAGGGTATTTCAACAATAGAAAAAAGGTACCAGGGAAAGTGGAATCCTTCCATGCTTGCAGACTACTGTTGGACTCTTGGTAGAGATGCTCCAGAAACGATCCATAAAAGAACAGCAAAAAGACAGCGCATATAGTGATTCTTATAAGTATATGAATCTTGTTACTTTTTTTAATATATCCCTAAAAATAAAAAGTTTTTTTCTAAACCTCAACTAATTTTTTTATTTCATTGTCATTTTTGGATTCAGCGCCCCAAAATTAACAAAGAAGTGCACTTTTCCCACAAGATACAATTAAAAAACTAAAATTTGTTGTCCAGTGTAATAGGTCGATGCGGATACTTTTACAAATATCGATGTTTTACGACCCAGAAATGCAGAATGCGCTGTTTGTTTACATTTGGTGTGGATTTCTAGGTCATAAATTGGCAAACATTGTTTTTGATGTAACAAAAGATGATGAACCAGTTGGAATACGTTTTATATCCTTTTTTTTGCAAAATAGCAAAAATCCGTACATTTCTACAGGTACGTATTTTGTACAACACCTTGTGCGTGATATACAGACAAAACTAGATTGCCATGCATAAACAGTCGTCAAAAACAGTGAAAATATCGTACCAAATATAGTAGATAGAAAATCGACCTATTAATTAATCATTTTGATTGGTCCATTTACATAACTGACCGTTATGTGTGAAACTGGAAATTCTATGAAAGTTATCCTAATTCTAAAGCACAAAGACATAATATTAACTCTATAATGTACCCTTATTTATAAGGCAACCATTTTTTCACGACTTTATTCAACATTTCAATAGAAATCACTGATGTTCAGAGACCTTTGACAGCTTCTGTCAAATTGCATTTCGATAAGCTATTTTCCCATTGGTCCATGGGACCGTCAAATATTAATGTTGGTGAAATTGGGCCTAAATGCTTTATTAAATTGCATTTATTCTTTATTACGGATTTTTTCCATTGTTCTTCTTTATTACTTTGAAATAAATCGACCTACCCTTAAAATACTTTTTTTTTATTCAAAATTATTTTTTTTTAAATATTTATAACTGATTTTTGAACACAGTTAATATTTCTATATGCAAAGGAAACCAAAAACTGAATTACTTCACCATATTGAATCGTATTGCCAAGCTACCTCGACCTCTTGAGAAACAAAGTATTCACAAAAAACATCACGAATTTTATGCAAGTTTGCTGAACATCTTCGAGGAGCGTTGCGGAGATCCATCAAACGATTCTCTTGATTAGTTTCACTTCTCCAAAATCCTTCAATTACATTTCCATCGCCATCGTACGAGTCCAAGCTTCCTGGTGGGGTGTAGGCATATCTTGACTCTGAATTCCTGCGTAAAAAATTGTGCAGGTAGGCACAAGCCAACACGACGGACTCCACTTTATTTGGCTGTAGGGCTATCGGCTTGAGTAACACCCGAAATTTGGAAGACATGATATCGAAAACATTTTCTATTATTCTTCGATCTCTGCTTGGCCTATAGTTGTATATTCTTTTCGGAATTTCCAGTCTACGACCAGGGTACGGTTTCACCAAATAACTAGACATAGCAAAAGCATCATCTCCCACAAGAACGTATAGTACAGGCTCCGTTCTTCCTGGTAATGCGTCGCTTCCAGGTACGCGTGCGGTATTGTTTTCTAGATCATTGTATAGTGAAGGACACTTAAAAACACCCCCATTAGAAATACGTACTTGGCATCCAACGTCGGCGTACAATAAGTTATAGTTGGCGTCTGCAACGCCAAGGAACACAATGCTGAATGTACCCTTGTAGTTGTGGGGCCACCACCTGAACGTGCTTACCATCAATGCTATCTATACAGTGTGGAAAATTCCATCTACACTGGAATTCCTGGGAAATAGCTTTCTAATCTGCTTCGGAAGTCGGTCTCTGAAACAAAAAAAGCACAAATTGTTAATATATTTTTTGCATTAATTTTTGGGGGAATCTGAGGAAACGGTGTGATATTTTTAATAATGCATTAACTTTTAGGTACATCAAATATAAAATAAATATTATGGCCTTATGGGCTTACAGGGAGGGTGATAGAGGGTAGGCGGAAGTTTTCGCCATCCGCCACCCAGATCAGCAGAGTCCGCTGAGGAGGCTTTCGCCATATTTGCCGGGCTCCCTGTTGTTCACACAAGGTCCCGGGCGAAACAAATTAATTTAAGATTATTTATTTTATTCTGTTCTATAAAAATATTTTGTTAATGTCTTGACGGCTTATGTTTTAAACGAATTTCGTTTTGTTTCAGGACATCCTGTTGGATACTGCTGATAATCAGAAACAAGATGAAGCAAATGTAAATGCAGAATGTGAAGACAAACACCCACCATTCAAAATCCCAAGATGGACTCCCAAACGCGTCCGACAGAATGACGACCCCACTGCACAAGAAGCTGTGAACCGTCTCAAGTCTCTATCAAAAGTTGTTACAACTATACAGGGTGACTTTGAAGTTGAGTCATTAATTTTCAGATAATGATTGTAGAAGGAAGATAAACCAAAATATGTGTGTGAAAATAAAAAAAAATTAAAAAAAAATGTTTACCTTGTTTTATAAAGTATCCTCCCGACAAGTATTTCAGTGCGGACCTGTATTTGATCGTGAGGTCTTGGAGCACCGGCATGCCGTCCATATGTGAGGTCTTAAGTCAAATGATTCACGAACCCGTTGTACTACATTAACAAAGGCACGAGGGGTTGGTTGCACTCGATTGGGAAACCTATCCGCATAAACATGTGCCATTTTTTATTTCGTTTGAGCCACGCAACAGACACCACTATCCACTACCGACTGACACTGACTGTATACAACTGAATGAAATAATTGTAAAAACATCGTTCCAAATTCTTTCGCTTTTTTGTTTCCGATGCGATGAACCGATAAGGCGAATTATATCCGTTGTCGCCAAACACGAGCACATAATATTATTATTGAGACAGGGCGGTACTCAAACTTCCAAAGGGCTATAACTTTGTTACTTTAATTTTACCAGAAAAATGGTAAAGGAAAAAAACATTTCTTTTGATCAGATCTACTCACTGTTAAAATAAATGACCCAACTTCGAAGTCACCCTGTATACGAGCATTCAGTATATGGAGAGTATGTTGCTGATAAAGTAAGAAATTGTAACAAGTCTAGGGTGGAGATCTCTTTGCGTCAGCGTTAAATAAATGATAATTTATTTCGATTGGACAAGGGTCTGTTAACTGCTGACCTTCAGACCATTGAGATGCCACATCCACCTTCCACTTCCAGTTCTTCAGTCACATCCCCAACTTCATATGTTTCGCAAGACACTTGTTGCTCGAATCCTTCTACCCCATCTGCTAGTCTAAAAGTAGTTGGAGATGTTCAACTTGAACAACAATTGGGGTCAAGGGATACAATGAGCAACGACATTCGCGGTTTTGTTGCTAATTATACCACTTCATAGATGTTTTGCATTGATTTCATAAAAGGTCTTATTAAAATAAAAATGTTTTGTGCAAAATAAAATTATTTTTTATACATATCTTTATATGTTGTTTTAATGATGAGTTAATCGCTTCGCAAACCTCCCGTCCCATTTTCGATATTTCCTGCTTGAGATTCTGAAGGTGTACATGAGACTAGTGAACGAGTCTCCACTTGCCAGGTAACGCAGTGTGACTGCCAGTCGAAGAGAAGCTGGGATGGTTTCTCTAAATTTTGTATCCTGCTCCATTATTTTTCCTCCAACCATCTGAAGCAATTCTTCAAAATCAGAAGACGTCAGCCGGGTGAAATTACGAAAATGGCGTCTTTCAATCTTAATTTATTTAGTAGTTCAGTACCGAACCTAGGTCCTTCTGCGACCACTTCGCGCGTCCTCCAACGTTTACGTTTTCGCGTATTTTTACTAGAAAGTATTAGTAAACACGCACTCATTTCGCACAAAGCAAGGTCCGCCATGGTGGTTGGCCAAGATAAGAGGATGAGACTAAAAAAATTCACATCATAGTGTAGACGCTAGACGAGACAAAGATCCGTATCTCTACACCATGTCTATGTCTCAAGTCTAGACTGTCTCTAGACCACCTAAAGAAAATCGCACAACGTGGTCTCCAAGTGAGTACTTACCTTTAGATATTTATGAGACCTACAGAATGAGACCACACGTAAATATGACAATAATTTCACGCAGCTACTTGAAATTCTTCAAATTCTTAGGCTTCATACTTCTAAGTAACCACAACAAAATTGGAGTCGATTGGTCAAGTAGTCTTAGAGAATTGTTTATCCCAAAACACCTGTCTTCCGGTCATCGCTACTAGTTTACTGAGCAAAATACACGAGTTTACCTTGCCGACATAAATCACAAACCATTCCGAAAGATAATTGCTGTTTTTATGCGAAAAAGGAGGGTTACGTTTTTTCTTCTAAACAGATTCAAACATTTCGTATTTGTGAGCAACTGAACAGATTCGCTACCATATTCGAAAAACATACGTTATTTTACACATTTTGAAAAAAAGCGGATGTGTCCATCACCTTTTGTTGCGAAGAAAATATTTTTTTCAAGATTTCTTCACACTCTTGTGTATACATACCATATTTAGAGCTGAAATTTTTACACAGTCACAGATGAGCCTTAAGTTTAAAAAAAAATTTCATACTGAAATGCGCTGAAATGTTTATAAAGTTGGCACGCAAACTGAAGACACAATTATGTTTTAAACTGTATAAGGGTGAATTGCACAAACATTAATATTTGACGGTCACTTGGACCAGTAGGAAAGGACCTTATCAAAATGCAATTTGACGGAAGCTGTCAAAGCTCTCTGAATATCAGTGATTTCTATTGAAATATTGAATAGAATCATGAAAAAGCGAGTGTATTATAAATAAGAACACTTTTTGATGCTTTTGTACAGAGAAAACTGGATAAGTTTCATGTATTTTGATGCGAGAAATAATAGGTCGATTTTCTAGCTGCTAAATTTAATAGCAAGTTTGGACGTTTGTTAATGCATGGCAATCTGGAATTTGTTAAGTTCAATATACTGAGTGTTTATATGTTATCATTGTAGCTACATAGCTGTTGAATAGTGCATATTTGTCTGTATTTTGCAAGAAAATAGAATATAAAATACATTCCAACCAATTCCTCATCTTCCTTTACATCATAATAGTAATCCTTTATTAATTTATGGGTTAATGAATTTCTTCAAAGCAATAAAAACAGTATGTCATCCCCATCCTAAAACACAGATAATATGTGTAAGACATGTCAATCACTACATCTCCGATGCATAATGCAATTACTATGGACATAGACAAAAAAATATGAAAAATGATGTCTTCTAACTCCAAAAATCATAAACAATAACAATGTTTCTTTCTTTTGACTGGCGGGGACGATCAGGTCCCGTGGTGGAGGGTGCGAAATGAATCTTTTACATTTGCTGGTTTCGAATTTAACGTAGGAACACAAACATAATACTTATGATAGTTGGAGCTAGACTGATATCACTTCCTGAAGAATATTTGAAAAGTGTGAACACCATCATGGTCTGTTATATCTTCAAATTGCAAATGATATCTGAAAATTCTTACATACAGTGGACCTTCGTAATTGTTTACTATCCTGATTATGATCATTTTTGGCAGATGTATTGTATCATCAAATTGATGAACAAATATAAAGCTCTGATATACCTACTTACAGCGGATTTTTCACGAAAATTTTCTAGGTATCATGATTATAACCATCTTTGTTAGATTGTTCGATCCGAAATAGGGAAGATCTCCTATTTATGAAAATATTTTTGGTATCATCTAACCGTTGCAATCAGTGCACAAAAACTGTGACATTTGATTTATAGCATAATCCACTGCCCTATCAACACTAATCGCCCTGTATAGGGCACTGTTAGCAGCTGTCTCGTAATTTCGACCCGGAAAATTTTTGAGACAAAAAGCGAGATAACCGAGGTATTTACTATGGAAACTGACCCAGGGGGGTCAGAAAATGGGGCTTCCACCATGGCGATCGAGACGGAGTCGAAGGAGCAGACCGTAGAGGAGTTGAGAGCCAAATTGGAGATGGTTCGATAGGAGCTGTCAAAAAAGGACGATGATAAGAAGACCAATGAAAGATTGACGATGATCATCGAAGCCCAGCAGCGAACAGTTAACGACCTAACAGTTAAATTAGACCTTCTACTGAAAACCCAGGTACCTTCCCATCTAAATATTACACATTCTTCCCAAACACTCTAACAAAATCCCAGGAAAGACAAAACTGTCAATCTTAAGAGACCGTTAAATAATTCAAGCGATCACTCCACTGACGACGATACACTCCCTGATGGTTTTATCAAGGTCCCGTAAATCGTGACGAAACAAGACCGACACGACAGTCTTTCCTCCTCTCCCTACATCAAAACCGCAGTCTGAAACGTCTCGTTCAACTGCAAGCGATTCGAATAAACAGCCTGTGTCTAATCTATCGGTTAATTCTTCTCCTTCGACATCTCAGGTATCAGAAGACACGACTGCACATCCCCCACGTAAGGTACGTGTTACCCCATCGTTCTTCGCGATGCTTCGAGATGGCGAGGCGTAAATCACAAGTTTATTTCTTTGGGCATCAAATTCGAACGCGCGGTTGCCGTCGATGCAGGAATCAGGATAATTCCCATGTCCGAGGATGATTACTGCAGGATTACTCGTCTCTTCAGGGAGGAAGAGGTGCCTCACCACACTTTCCCTCTACCCTCGGAGAGGAACAGTCATGCTGTAATCAGAGGAGTACCTGCGACACTTTAGGAGGAAGAGTTGCAACAGAGGGGATATTCCCCCTTGCACATAATTCGCCTGAAACGCGGTGGCGGCGTGCCCATGCCTTTGGTGGTAGTCACCCAACTAACAATTATCACTCCTATTAGAGTTGCAAGAATGATTATACAGTATTCCTTAAACAGCATTGTATACTGTAAGTACATTAGCAAAACCCTCTTAGAACAGCTATACAAGCGGAATGGGCACACCTAAAAGGACACTTCAGTCATTTAAGAGGTTGTATAAGGGCTGCAGGTAACAGTTATAAAACAAAAGTGTAAGCCTCTTGCAGCCGCTATAGGACATTTGCGTCAGTGCAAGATTCAGTTTTTGTCAACTATACAACTATTCTCTTACGTGATTCTACTTTATTGCAACCAAACTATTTCCTATGTATTGTATAGACGAAGTGAAGAATATATAACTAACACATTACAGTCATCTTGTTTACTTACATATCGGCCATTGTGAATTTCATAGACAGGTATATGATAGACTTCTACACTTTGATCTAGGGCTATTGAATTACTTGCGCACCAAATTTTATTGTGATTATCGTGCAAATTAGTTACCCAATTTTTACGGGCTTCGTATTTGATTCATATTTTGACAATGATCAAAAGTATGTCTAGATTTTTAAGATGGAAAACTGAACTTATCTGAGTTAAATCTTCCACAAATCCTATATTTAGACACAATTACACTAATGTTTATCACTTTATATCTGTAATTTCGAACCGAAACATAATTATTTAATATTAAATAGAGGAATAAATGTTTGCCCAATATGGCGGGTGGTTGTGTACAATCATGGTATCGTCCATGTTGTCTTTAGGTTATTAGAATATTTTGGTGTTGCTTGCAGGTGTTATACAACAATTTGACAAGTGTCTGAAATGAAATACCGACAGAGTCGAATGATTTACCTAGAATTTGTACCAGATCTATATCTTCTGTTTGAACAGTTGATAAAACCTTTTGAACCAATATGCATGCGTTGTTTGTCTTAAAACATTGGTTATGGCATTTTAACAAAAATATGACAGCAGAAAGTTAGGTTATGGTGAAGTTGTTTACCAACATATAGTCAACGCCAAAGTGGCGTGCACGTCATCACGATAAAAATTCCCCGACCTAATGCCTAGGTTTCTATAACAAACAATTGCTCTATTGCAGTTTCATATTAATGTGATATATAAATTGTAAAATGGTCATTACTCTCTTATTATGGTTAATAGTCATATAAACATTGTTATTAAAATATCACATAAGTTGCTTTCTGATAAATTTAGACGCATTATGCGAAATAAAATGTTTTGCAAACGCTCCAATCACTTATCGACATGTAAACGCACTAAACCGATTTCGCAGCGTTGACACATTGTCACCTTGAAACTTATTTAAACTGGGAACTGACATTTGTATTAATTTTGACACTGAATCAATTTGTGGCATTTCAAATCTTTATAAATCCTTTGGCCCCGCATACTGTAAATCAACAACTGTTTGTTTCAAAACAAAATTATTCATTTTACGAGATAGATAAAGGCAATTTTGGTATATAAAGATACCCAAACAGTTAAATAGTCGGTGTAAGGAACTCGTGGCCTCGTTAATGCACTACTTTGAGCAAGAAAGGGACAACAACGGGCCTTTGTTGCCTTTAAATGCTGTTCAAGAGGTAGGTTACTAATAATTATATGTAATGTATATTAATAATAGTGAAATTTTATTTCATTTTTTGTAGCGTGTTGCTGCTGCTTTAAAAATTAGTTTAAGGACAGTTAGTCGTATTTCCGAGGGTGTGAAAAGTGATGCAAATTTAGAATCGCCCAAGAAAAAGCGGAGTTATATTAAACGTGTAACCAACACAGCGACATTGGATACAAGTGCCATTCGAGA